CATCCTACAACGATCCTTAACTATGTACATTTGATGTGTAATGCTAGATATGTGAATCAACCTGTTTGTGATCAAAGTTGCAGTCTTAGTGAACTATTGTCTTGGCTTAGTAGTTTAATTGTGCCATAACGTTGTTGTTTGCAATTCTTACACTATTCAGGTGGCATATACTTAGTACCTCTATCCTCAATATCAGCTGGATAGTTTAGTGGTAACTTGGTCCCTGTTGTGATACAGTGCGGGATTTTGGCCAGGAGACTGCTCTACTGTTCAACTCTCTACAATGCTATCATTAATTATCCATGTTGTAATGATGTCCAATACTACCTGTTCAACTCTCTTTGTTGTTGTTGCTGTGCTGGTGTCTCCTTACATTTTTTCTTATCATATAAGCTATAGAAACATGCATTCCGAAGGTCATTCTACCAGATCCGGGATGATTCCAAACTATTGAACACACATCCAGTTTGGATCATCACTCTTGGTACAAGATTTCACATTTCAGTCATACAATCAGGTGGTAGATGAATATTGGCACATATTGAAAGGAAAATTTGTCTGGAGGTGATTCTACTGGACCCAGGATGATTCATTGGTGTTATCCAAACTATTCAATGCACTTTCAGTTTGTATCATCACTCTTGGTACAAGGTTTCACATTTTGGTCATACAATCGGACAGTAGATAATATTGGCACATATTGAAAAAAAAAACTTCTTCTGGGGGTCATTTCACTGGACCTGGGATGATTCATTGATATTATCCGAACTATTCAACACACTTTCAGTTCAGATCATCACTCTTGGTACAAGGTTTGATGTTTGGGTCATACAATCAGGCAGTAAATGAATACCAGCACATATTGAGAGTAAACTTTTTCCAGAGGTCATTCTACTGGGCCCAGGATAATTCATTGATATTATCCGAACTATTCAACACACTTTCAGCTCGGATCATCACTCTTGGTACAAGGTTTGATGTTTTGATCATACAATGGGATGGTAGATGAATATCAGCACATATTCAAAGGAAACTTTTTCTGGAGGTCATTGTACCAGACCAAGCATGATTTATTGATGACATCTGAACTATTTCATCCACATCCAGTTTGGTTCATCATTTTCAGTAGTGGATTTCAACCATCAGACCCTCAGGCCCAGCTGTGAAATGTAAGACCATCAACCTGGGCCCACCCATGTTTTTCAGCCTACAGTTGGATCTGGGCCCGTTTGGATGGCCCATCTCACTTAGATGAATCTCAACTTCGGGTGTCCATGTAACACGGAAAGTATTTACTGAATTATGTGGAGCAGGGCTACCTCAATGAAACATATTTCCCACCCTATGAGATCCTGACAGTGCCACACACTTCATAGTCACAGCGCAACATCGCAATACCACCTGCAATCACCAGCCAGGTCATTTGCATTATCAAGGAAAAGAATTTGTCAGGCATATATGAGCTGCTAACAGCCACCTATCGCTCATGCTGGTTTTGTGTCATCAAGAAGGATAGCCATTCATTGTGCTTAGTCCATGACCTACAGCCACTCAATGAAGTCACAATTTGTGACACATCAGTTCTGTCTTTCCCTGACTTCCTAGCTGAAATGTTTGCTAGATATCCAGTTTATGCTATGTTGAATTTGTATGCCAGTTATGACCAGCATGTGCTTCACATAGACTTGTATGACATGACTACCTTCAGGACACCCCTAGGGCTGCATCATTTGACCACACTTCTGCAAGGACATGCTAATGCTATACAGGTTTACCAAGGCAATATCTTGTTTATACTGCAAGACAAAATGCCCAAGCTCATATTGCCATTCATAGACAATGTGCCAATAAAGTCGGTAAAGATTCAATACCAAAATGTAGATGGCTCTTATAAGACCATATCTGGCATTCCAGGCATCTGCCATTATATGGGAACACTGCATTGACATCCACCGCATCCTGCAGTGCCTAGAAAACATAGGTGCAATAGTATCCACAACCAAGTTTGTACTAGCTGCACCATCAGCGACTATTGTCAGCCACAAGTGCACTTTCAAAGGGTGCATGCCTGATGAATATAAGGTACAAAAGATCTGTGATTGGCCAGAGCCAAAAAATCAGTCACACATGCAGTGTCTTGCGCATTTTCATCTGTAACTTCTTGTGCATTGCGCACCTGCTGATCAATTTGACCAAAAAAGATGTACCATCTGAGTTTGGCAAAGAGCAGTGTCAAGCGATGCAAATTCTCAAGGACTCCATCATAGATTCACCCATGCTTCAGTGGATAGACTATGAAAGTGGCCATAAATTCATCCTAGTGGTAGACACATCATGCATTGCAATCAGGTATATCCTGCTGCAAGTAGGCAAAAATGGCAAGTGCTACCCCAACAGGTTTGGATCAATTGTACTGAATGAAGAGGAGAGCCACTATTCACAAGCAAAGCTCAAACTTTATGGCTTATATTGTGCATTGCACACCCCATGCACCCGGCACCTTGGTGCTAGCGTGCAACTTGAAGATTGAATATGAGTTAAGCAAGAAGACAAAGCTGCAATACTTGGGACCTATGATTATAGTGCACCACATGAAAGGAGGCTCATATCTGCTGGCTGAGTTGGATAGCACTATGACTCCCTTTCCACCTGCTTTCAGGGGATATTCTCCTTGGATGATAAGTTACTAATAAACCCATCACGATGATCTGATTATTCCACTCGCCTCTGTAGTGTTTCCCTATCACAGATCTCTTATCATCATAGAGCCACTAGTATCCAAACTTCCTTGCTGAGTTCGCTCCGTGTGGAGCATATTGAACTCAGCTTGCGAACCTTGACATGTTCATTTGCGTAGCATGGCATCGGCGCATCACAGTCCCAAAGGCTAGTTTACACCAACCCTACAGGGTGCTACAACTAAATCAAGGGACCTGTCTCATGATACATTAACTCAACTTGTGCAGCAGTGGAGAGAGCCTTCCCTAGTGTTATCTTCAAGTTGTTTTAGTTGGGCATTAGCGATGGCTATGCACCAGTCCCTGGGTGTATAATGCATTAAGTCTGCTAATTACAGCACATAAGTCTTGCATTAACCTTGCTCATTAGCAGTTATTATGATGCATAATAATGTGCTAACAAGCAGACCTGTAGTGCCTTACTGCCTAAGCCTGCTTTGTCAAACAAATCTAGATAGCATCGCAAATGGATCTCGAGCTCGCTCAAGGTACACCTTAAACTTGAACTTCTGTACCTTACATTGCCACGAAGTGCACATTATGTGACACTGCTGCACTCATTGTTGATGATGATGAGCTCACCGATACTATCTCACTTGTTATTTGTACTATTTATGCAGCAATCTAATGCAGTGGTTTGATACTCAAATAGTACATTATCAGGCAGCTGCACAAGGAGTGGAGTAGAGTGTTATATTGATCAAATGAAGCTACAAAAAAACGAGAGTGACATGTAGATAGTGGGAGGAGTAGTGGTAGAAAGTAGTGGTAGGTAGCGAGAGGGTGCTGAAGGTAGTGAGAGGATACTAGAGGTGAGAGCATTGAGGGCACAGCAGAAGTAGCGGGAGGATGCAGGAGGTAGCGGGAGGGCACTGAACTTGATAATGGGAGGGTGCTGAATTTGATAGCGGGAGGGCTCCAAAGGTAGCGAGGGTGCCAAAGGAAGCAAGAGTGTGCTGGGATTGTGGAGAAATACAGTATGGTGCAATGAATAAAGTAGGTGGGTGTGTGGGTGTGTCTAGGTGTGATGGATGTGAATTGGGGTTAGCGAATGAGACAAAAAGGGTAGAAAGACTCACCACCTCTAGGTCAACCTCACCTACTCCCTACATAGTGGATGTGGACCTAACTGGGCATTGGGAGGGTCCTGGAAGGCTGGGGTAGGCAGTGTGGTGGCCACTATGGTAGTGAGTCGAGGTAGCAGGGACCAACAAGATGTCAAAGCCAGACACCAGCACTAAAACATGTAATTTGCAGTGAATATATGATGATAAGTAGACCACGCACCTTAACAGACATTTCAAACGAATACTTGCCTGAATTCCTTGACTTGAACGAGCAGATGTTAGGAAGCTTGCGGGGGTTGGAGATTTACTCAATGCTCGTAGCAGTACAAGACATATAGCAATGCAAAAACAATCGGACTGATCATTCAGAGCGAGTTTTCAATAAGCCAAAAGGCTGTTTAGTAGTCCCAATATATTCAGATTGAATGAAGACACCAGAGGTTTGCTAAAGGTAGCTGGTTCGAACAAGATGATTTGATGTTATAACGATGAACATGATTAATACTTGTAAACAAACCCCAAAGCTTCAAAGCTTCAAGCTTCAGGTTCAAGTCTCATCTGAGCACGCGCACCTAGCATTTCAATGACCATAATATTGAAAATGATATCTGCATCTGGAGCCGATTCAGAGGTATGAAATACTCAAGTTGGATTTAAAAAGAACATAAGAGTGATACAGATGCAGCAGAGACATGCATCATAATTCAATAGCGACTGGAATACATCTACTAGAGTGCTATGATATATTATAAACTAGTTCGAACACAGTGAAATCGGACAGCCCTGAACTTCAAGTGAGGCTGGGAGGCACAAGAGGCACAATCAGTGGATGAGAGGTGTGTGGCAGGGTGGCAGGAGGTGTAGCACAGCAGAGAAGGGTGAATAATAGGTGCAGGAGGGTGAACAGGAGGTGCAGGAGGGTGGCCCAGGTAGGAGGTGTCATGAGGTGCAAAAGAGTGAATAAGAGGTGTGGGAGGGTGAATGGGACATGCAGGAAGGTGGCAGGAGGTGTAGAAAGGCAGGACAACCGGAAGTGCAGGACTTGGAAGCTGCTAGCAGACGATGCGGGAAAGTAGAACAACTTGAAGGTACCAGAAGTTAGCAACAGCTGAGGGCAGCAAGCAATGAGTGGCCCAAAAGTGCTGGAGCTGGCTGCAGTAGTATCAGATTAGTATGATGATGGGGAAGCGGCGGCATGTGTCAGAAATCAAAGATTCAAAGAACCACTGGCCTGCAGGTACGCATCATCAATGTATGATGTGCGGAAGAATCAAAGAAGCGCTAATACTGCAGCTGACAAAGGAATCGTTTGATGCATGAGATTCCACATATCATCAGTAAATTCACACATTTCTTGGCAGACCTTTTTTCAAAAATTAAAACTTATTTTTAACTTATTGACACTTATTCACCTTTATTCACTTGGCTGTTTGTTTTCACAAGTCAAAAAAGGAAGTGTATGACACACAAGTGCTGAAAAGTAGCATAAGATCAAAAAAGTCAGTTCAAGTATTCAAAACAGAAATAAGTACAGCAAGTAAATAAGTAGTTCAACTTGGTATGTAACCTGCGGCAGGTAGTAACTCATGACCTATGTATTCATGTACTAGACATATGGGTGTAGGTACAATGCATATCAGTAGTAGCAACACAATAACGAGATTGACAGACTCATGAACTGTGAACTGCAGGAAACGACTTGGATCAGCGTGGCTCGAGCTCGAAGGGGGATTGACAGACTCACAAACTGCAAACGGCAGGAAACGACTTGGATCAGCATGGGTCTTGCTTGAATGAGGATCGACACACTCACTTCCTGCGAACAGTGGCAACGACTTGGATCAGCGTGGCTCGAACTCAAACAAGGAGGGTGCTGGAGGGCGCAGTTGGGCATGGTTGGATTGGGAGGATGTGAGAGATGTGCTGGGGTGTGTGTGGAAGGCTGCAGTTAGCAAAAATTGAAAGAACAATTGATAGACGCACGTACAGTACCCAAACCCAAACTATACAAACTGATTCCTTCAATCTGTGTGAAGCTAAAGTCAGTATGACAAAGACGGGTGCATGCAGTTTCAGGACTTGTCAAAAACGAGCACTGTGAACCATCATGCGTCACATGTCATATTTGAACCACGTCAGTTTTTCACATGAAGTTCACTCTCAACGTTAACGTTCAACCTTGTCTGACTCTCAATCTAACTTCCACACATCATCTCACATACCTCCATACCTCAGTGTCTGAAACTTCACTCTCATGGTCTCGCACCCTTTCACACACCTCTCAGTAATTTTTTTATTTGTTTTTTTTTTCTATTTTACTAAAAATGTCTGTTTGTCTCAGTGTCTGAAACTTCGCCCGTCCTTTCGCATAGCCTCCAAGTAAGTTTTTATTTATTTGTTGTATTTTCTTTTACTAATATAATGTCTGCTTGCCCTCAGCATCTGAAACTTCGCCCGTCCTTTCATGTACCTCCAAGTAAGTTTTTTTTTCATTTTTTTAAATTTCCCTTTACTAATAATGTCTGCTTGCCTCAGTGTCCAAACTTTGCCTGTCCTTTCGCATACCTCCAAGTAAGTTTTTTTCATTTGTTTTACTTCCTTTTACTAATAGCGTCTGCTTCATTGCAGTCTGCCACTTGCCTCATGTGCCGTCTGCCTTGTATGCCACCTTTCATTCCTCACATCCCGCCTTTCACCCTCTTCAAAATTTGCTGCTGCTGGCTCCCCATTCTTTGAGTTTGTTTCTGCATCTAGTTGTCGCCGCCGCCACAAGTAGTTGTATTGTTTTCCCCACTAGTACTTAGTAGTCCTATCATGTAATTATCCTTGAATGCAATATTTTGTCATTTTTGTCGAAACAAGTGTGAAATAAGTAGCCCCAACTTGCACTACTTGCAATGTGGGCTATTTTACAAATAAGTGCCAAAAAAGCCAACAAAAAGCTTGAAAAAAGTCGAAGTCAAGAGGAGGCATCTACTTTTTCGACTTAAATTGCCTTGCGGCAAGTTGATGGCAAGTTAGTGTCACTGTTCTTATGAATGACTTTTCCGCTCCTTTTTTGGAATTACCTGGCGGCAAGTTGCAAAAAAGGAAGTTCAAGCAATGTGTGAATTTACTGATGCCATAGAACACAAAAGTAATGCACTGTCAACTTATCATCCTTGTTGCATTAAAAATGACTGCTAGATAACATTTTTTAATGCATCAGAATGACATTATAGCCTGGGCTATGATGTGGGGAGTACTGACATCTGTTTCATAACCACAATTCAGATGATGGCTATTGCCTGTGATAGAGTATCCAACATATGTGACACTATATCTACTATCTAGTGTTGTTGGCAAAACTCGGCAGTTTTGCGAACCAGTCCAACACAAGCCGCGTGATAGTGTAATCTCTCTGTTAAGCACTCTGAAAAATTTGTGCAAACCTTCGACACTATCTTCAAGTTCTTTGGGTTGGGCATCAGTGATAGCCATGATGCGGAGAGTGCTGACGTCTCTTCCATAACGATTCAGATGATGGCTAATTTCCCGAGAGAGTTATCCAACATGACACTATATGTCTAATGGTCTGACACCATCTATGCGACGGTATAATCTCTCAGTTGAGACAAGTGGGCATTCATGCAAATCTTTGTGCAAACCTTTGTGCAAACCTTCGACACCACATTGCAATATAAGCCGCAGCACTCGTCAACATGCTCATGTGTACACTCATGAAGAAGTTAACATTGTTGTCGAGACTGCATATCTTTCGCATGGGCACGCCCTGCTCTCGACTGAGCCTCGTGATGCAGATCACCTTCTTGTTGGTCTCGTCTGACGACATCATTGCTGTTGAATTTTGCACCTCTCGAAGAAGCCTGAAAAAGTTCAGGACATTAATGAAGTCAAAGTGCTGGAAGGAAATGCTTTTGATTTTGCATATAGTCTACATATAGCCTGTGGTTTTACCCCCTCCACTATATACATCACTCAGCCTTGGGTGATGTATATGTCGTCCCGCTTGAATCCATGTATATGGTTTCAGTAGCCCATGTGCATGGCTAGGATAGCGCTGAAGCCTAAAATGAAGGTGACCATGCGGAAGATATCACCATCAATCACGCAAAGGTAGCTGAAGTTAGGATGCCGGCGGTAAACAGGAGTCGTCAGTATCAGTCTTGCATGAAGAAATGGAATCAATTTTACGCCGAGGTCTCCATCAGTGAATTCAAGAGTCCTCGATATTGTAACCATGAGAATTATATAGATACATAATTTTGCTCCTGCCAAATATGACAATTTATACATCAATAAATTTGACGTCTTGGTATGTAGGTATGTATGCCTACAAATTTAGGTTACTATGAGGCATTCATGACAATGGTGTGATACATTAACATAACGGCCAGCAAGGTATTATGGTGTAACTGTTACAGGGATCTGTAACACCTGCTAGAGCCCCAGCTCTCCCTACACCTGCCCCCGCTCTGCTAGACTCCCCGCGCGGCGGTGCGCCGCCTGCGCCTAGAAAGACAGCGGTCTGGACCGCCATGACCCCGCCTCAAGGCGCTATGACCCCGCCTGATGCTATGACCCCGTCCCTGGCCTAGACGGCCTTGTACCTGTTCCATGGAGGCTGTACGCCTCATGGACACCCTAGATCAGCGCATGTATACAGCATGTCGCTTCATGAAGATCCGGAGCGCCCTTGGCGCCTCATGTATGAAGACCCGGAGCGCTTGGCGCTTCCTGGACCTATGCGCAGCTGCACTTGGCGCTGCATGTATGATCAGAGGTTAAGCCTCATGTACTTTATCTAACCTCATGTCTGGTTATCTTAGATATACGATATACTATAGATTACAGACTGAGCTTGAACACTTAGATACACTATGTATAAGTACATACATTGTTGTAGATTATACTTCACTTTAATCTACTAGGTTCTACCAAGAACTTGCTCATCTTAGCTCTAACAAAGCTTCCTTGTGTGAGACCGCACTTCAGAGTCGCTCCCATACGCCTCTGCACGTATCCGCTAGCCCTGCATCTCGACGAGCGCCGTCTTACCGAGATCGCCGGAGGAATCCTTGACGTTCCGTCAAGGCCAGACCACGCTCAGCTTCAGTAGAGTCACTCGACTCGTCGCTGAGAAGACCTATCCTAGTTCCCACTACGCCGACCAACAGTCGACGTAACAGTAACCGTGTCCATATGGTCAAAATTTTCCATATTTCTCATTTAATGTTTGAATTACAAGGCTATTTATGGGTTTATCACAGAAAGTGGGATTAGCATCACAAGTAAAACATATATTACTATGGGCGCTTGTGAATATGTGGTGATATTGCATCATCACGGCTAGCAAGCACATGTAGTGCAGTTGTGTCCCAGCTGTTAAACATTCTCATTTCTCACTCTTACGCGTCAAATTGAAATGCTATGTAAGCCTATTTCATGGACAGTGGCTTTCGCATCAGTAATCAAATATATGTTAATATGGAAGCATGCGACAAGATTGTGACTTCGCGACTTCACAGCTATTAGGGATTGATAGTGTATTCGTGTCAGTATTTTTCTTATTTTTCATTGTTGAGATTCTTTCGGGGCTATTCAAGGCCTTATATATGAATACGATGCCGAGCCAAACAGTTTCCAATATTAATATTTATCATGCTATGTACTTTGGAACCGCAGTTGAAATGGTCCTGTACAAAAGCATTCGTGGCACTACAAAATCAGGTGCTGAAGCGTTCAGACAGACGATAATCAATTCTTGCAGGTATGACTACTGATAATACTAAACATTACAGAGGGTGAATAATGATAACATATCTAAACAAACATGCAGAGGTTGATGTGATGAACATATGCCAGGCATTTTCCTAAAGGCTGCGGTAAACATCAGTCAGAAGTCCGAAAGAAAGAATACATAATGTACATATTTCTTTTGCTAGCATAGCACTGAACATCATCACCTGCTTGTGGTGAGGTGTTGCACGGAAAATTTCTTGGACATCTCGACACATGTCTATGAATTGAGATGCGAATGCGTGGCTTGCTGGCACAATAAAGTTCACAGCTGAGAGCAGCACCGAGTGTGGAGAGCCGGTTGCTGGGGTGGTGGGTATACTGGTGGAAAGCATGGTACTGCAGACGAAATGCCAAAATTGGTGAGAACAATGGAAATAAGGGGAGAAACACACCCAACATACCTCTGGGGCACTGTACCAGCGAGGCACACAACCAGGTCCGCCTTTCTCCATTCCAAGCTATGGACCTTGTAGCATTGCCTGTCCAGGCATGCGATGGTAAAACATATGCAGGATTCCCTGCAAATTCATTGAGCACAATAGTTTGTTAGTGTAGCATACATAATTAGAAAAACCAAACTCACCTCATTGATGGGAAGAATGAACACTTTGTATGGACCCAAGTCCTCCCCCTGGTTTGAGTCAGCGAGCGCTTGACAGGAAAGCAGGAACTCACCACTTTCAAGTTGGACAGAATCTTGAGTCATGTGATACAAACAAACAACCTCGTCATTATTAAAAGTGAATGAGTCTGCATGAATATGAATCACACGATAAGGTACTTAGCGGGACTCGAACCAGTAAAGAGCGCTCTTGCGAGTGTACTATACAGCCGTTAGTAGTATAGAGCCCCTGGAGCCACTGACTTGTTCGAGTATTGCATATACTCTTCCGGCATTTGCCGGATACCATTATAAATAGATTGTTGTCCAAATCAGGACATTCTCTTGGATGATAACTCAACGACTTGTGTTCACTATCGATTCAATTTTGTATCTACAAATCTATACAATACCAGCATGAATAACGATAACTACGCCAATGCGAATGGAGAGCTTGAAAATCTACATTACGAGGTACGTTAATCATTCTCTGATATCAGCTACTCGCTGATCATCAGTAGATACCTCAGCGTCTTCTTCGACACACTCCAAGGCCCCGGGAGGTGGTGTTCATGTTGACAAGAACCCAGCTGGTAAGTGATGCAATCATTCATTAGTTACAACGCTGAAGTTTTGAAAGGCAATCATGTACATTACCTGGGCTGTCGTGCGACACCATGTGCATCAACGCGTCCATCAACTGGAGTTGCCATTCCCTCCCTACCCCCCGCATCCAGTCTGGTCAGACGAGGTACGGGTGATGATGATACTGTGGGTAGCGAGAGAGCGCCGCATGTTCGAAATGGAGATGGCTGAACTTGAGTATATACTGGGACTTGGAGGTGCTGCGTGTTAGTGCCTATTAAGTAAATACTTTCAAAACTAAAAAAATTACAAATCGACTGACGAGTTTCAGAACGTACATACGAAGAGGATCGGAAAGATTCAGGAGGTGGAGAGTGGGATTGAGTGACTGCATACACCGGATAGATGTATGATATATGATGTACTAGATACCTTTACGAAGTTTTTTCAGCGGACAGGCATGGCATTGATAAATTCAAGTCAGGTTCACCTGACGAATGTCGCCCTCATAGATTGGCTGCTGGTAGTGTCGGGCGGGCTTATTCAGCCCATTAGCAGAGACAGTCACCTCACGCCAAGGGTCACACACACCTAGGAAATCGATGTCGCTATCGGGGCGCCAATGAAACCTAATCTGATTGGTTCCAGACCCTATACTACAGTGAATGTGTAAGTGTGAGATGGTCAAACCCAATCGTCAAAACACACCCAGCACATAATTTAAAAGCACGTTGATAGGTGCCACTGCCATGATGATACGAGTTGGCACAGCGAAGAGACCTTGACGAGAATTGATGGTGAGCATCGAGCTACAGACCTACACACCTTGGGACTGGAAATGTTGGCTAACGTGCCAATTAGGACGATGGTTTAACAGTGAAGGAAGCCAAGCTTACCAGGAAATGCAATTGAATGCATAGGCCGGCAGACCTAACGAGGCCCATTTCAAGTAAATACCAGCAAGCCGCGCAACCTCCGGTTCTTGCCTCAGTAAAAGCAGGATAGGCTCCGCATTAAACCATATAACAAACATAGGCTGATAAGCCGATGATTCAGCGAAAAACATGTTTGATGGGATTCGACGACTTACTATAAGTGTAACAGCCATGACAACCGCTTTTAATAACGAATGTTAAGTAGCGAGCATCAAAAAAACAATCATACTCACTCATGTGCTGCGTCCACAGTCCAACAAGGTGCGGTTGATCAGAAGTCCAAGCCCCGGGAAGCATTGTGTCTAAGGTTGAAACAAGACCATGAATAATGCTCAGACCGGTGACATTAGCAGTCATGAACCCAATAGTTGCGGCAGCAAGAGCAATGGTTGAAATATGGCCGATGGAGATCACAAATGACAATATCATGCTGTGCTCAAAAACATGTGTGCTGACAAAAAGGTTTGGGTCAGTTGACAGTACATTTGGTGTACGAGCTCACCCAAAGACAGGCAAGGTGTATTTCAACAAGATCCAAAATTCTTCTTAGTACATTTGAGTGGTACTAGGTTCGTGTCCATCACTAGGAAAGTCCACATTCTCCCGGATAAGCGGGATCAATGGCGTCAGGAGGGGTGTGTTGTGCAACTAAGAACATATATCAGTCAAAGCATTGAATAATAGATGGCGATCACATACATTAGCATATCGCAGTGCATCGTCAAAGGATCCTGGAGGTATTCGGGGAGCACCTTTTATCTTTGAGACTGGTGTAGCATCAACCTGAGGGAACCATTGTCAGCGTCATTGGAATGAAATGTATCTTAGCTTACAATATCTGAAAGGTCAGCTTCTTTGAGAACAGCAAAATCATCAGGTCATAAAGCCCATCTGCCTTGACTTCATATTGAGTCTCCTGGGATGTACCATAGCTCAGACTGACTTGTGTGACACGGAATACCATGCAAGGTAGATACAGTCTACAGTTTGCGAAATGAGCAGTGCTCGTGTTATCAAGCCGGTTGTAATGTTCCAAAGCCAAATTCACAACCATGGGATTTTCTCGCAGGGAAGAGATAGTTGTCTGAATCTGATCTTCGGACAAAGATGGAAGAGCACGTGGAGGAGTGGCGTAAGAAGTGATATAGGCTGGAAGACAGTTGTTGAACTCGGAAGGTTGTCCGACCCAGTCGAGGATCATGATGTCTCTCGACCGAGCCACAATTTCCTGCAAGAGTCGCCTGAGCGCATTCTGCTTCTTCTTGCTGTAGATTACAGGTAGGTGGACACCGAAGATCCCAAATAATGAGTATGCGATGTCTTCTTGCAGTGTGATGACGTGAGATGACGCCCATTGAAGTCTCTGTCAAGCCTGGACAGAAGGAGATCAGAGCCCGTGCATCTATTCCAGTCACATCCTGCAACTCCTTCATGATTGCAGGGGACTCTTTGTGGTTGGAAGAGTGATTGTCCAGATATAATGACCAATCATTCTGATAGAATAATACAACTTTTGGAGCGACAAACTCTTGAAAGGCCCACCCTCGCTGGTTCCAGACAGGGATAAAGGAGGCACATCGGATAGGTATACAATGGTGAGCACTGAATGGTGATACCAGACGAACATGGAGTTGACCGATTCTTGAAGCTCGGTGTTGCTCCTCTTGTCGATGTAGCATGTGTGCTGGTGGGTCAATATCGAGACTATGCAGAGCAGGGGATACGAGAGTGGTGGACTTACTCAGAGAAGAAATAAAAAACTGTTACGTATTCATGAGGATGTAGCAAATGCGGCACAAGCTTGTTCTTCACCTTTGTGAAAGTTGCACCTGTCATATTATCGTCATGTGCCTCTTCGCTGTCTCTGCAAGCTGACAGGCACACCTATAGTGGAAGTTTTAGCTACGTGAATGCTAAAAATACGTATTAACTTACAACACGACCTTGATTCTCTTCTTCAGTCATGACACAAGTACCGTTGCATCTGGCATTTGGGTACATTGAGATGGGTGACATCACAGTCCGATGTGGGGACGTGAGCCAGTGAGACTGAGAAACAAAGCTAGTATTGACTGAGACTGGTAGTCTTGAAGGTGCAGTCTGCACAGATCCATCAACTTCATTGGCACAAGGTGGTGTGCTCGAGAGAAAGACCTTCAGTATTCTCAAGGCGTGATTGTGAACTAGAGTCTGCGTCAGATGACACAAAGCACTGTAACATCGAACTTACGATGCAACACGACACAATTTACAAGCCCTATCAATGCAATGTTGAAAATGGGAGGCTGCAAGGTAGAGAAGGTACATACCAATGGCGGACTGCGAAGACATAACCAAGACATTGGTTCTCAGCCGCGGTATGCTTACCAGGAGGGAAATATGATATTTCTTTGACAACCATGACCATTTCTCAACGAGTGGTGCTCGACTTGCATCCATGTCGCTTTGCTGGCTGGAGGTTGCAATGGGTTTAACAGGGGACAGTGATGCAAAGCAACAGTTAGAATGCTTGAGGTCTATGTGGATTGTTAGTCGGTAGACATGGCAGGGAGAGTAGAGTAATCACTGAGGATAGTTCCGGAATGACAGCAATCGAACACAGCCTATGAAAGACCAATATTAAATACTTGACTCTGATGAATATACAGAAGTACTCACAAACAATTGACAACCCTTTGCTTTCAACACTGGTTCCACCAGATGCTGCTTCAGGACCTAACATAATATTCAGTGCCACAGTTGGCTATATGATCCTTAAACTTACATTGTCAATGATCTTGCCACCCTTATATTCATAGATAGCTGGAGAAACATTAGTTGGGCAAAATCACTGGGAAGATGGACATCACCTTGATCTTGACCATTATCTTCACTATTATGTTGGCAAATAGTCTGTCCGCCGTGACCCAAGTCTGACGAGATAGGATGAAGGGTGACTCTAACCAATATAGCTATGAGTGAAGACCAACAGTAGAATGCCAGCCTGTCGTGCTCTCCAACATCTTCAATGAGCCATTCGATCCTCTTGAGCTAGGTACAAAGTAAGGATGAATAAGAAGTATTGAAGCTGATTCAGTTCAAGCTCACAATATTAACTTCAGAAGGCCAGAATGATTTGTGCAATTCGCGGTTGTCCACCAACATCACAATATCATCTTCAGTGTAGCCATACTGGTCTGTAAGAGTGTTACTGATTGTGGGGATCCACACATAATGAAAAAAACATTACAATTTGACATCGACCTCTGAGGGTAGATGACGTCCATATTGAGATGCGCAGTACCCAAGGAACCAGGTTTGCAATGTTGACAAAGTCCGTCAACCCCATCAGAGCCAAGAACACGACCCAGAATGTTATAGGATAGTTCCCCCCCAAGCCGGTCAAGTAGAGCTTGACTGTAACGTGATATCAGCAAGGTACCAAGGATGTACGGAGGAAGGAACCAACAAGCTGGCCAGGAGACATGGCCCACTGCAATTTCCTCAGACATCACCAACTTGCCATCGGACTTGGCCTTCGGTTCTTCTGGAGTGTCTACAACCTGGGCATCTTCAGCGAGGACTTCCTGTTCTTTAGCCATTTCCGCTGCAAGCTTGTCGTCCTTTGCAATGGCCTCCGATATCGATACATGGCTGACAATCCGTCCATTGGAACCCATAGACACGACTGAAGTGCACTATAGAACTCGCCATAGCGACATTATGTGTCTGCACTGCCTTAGAAAAGAGGTAGTCAAATTGAACCTACTGCACGTACCACAAGGATAATTGTTCGATCTTGGACAAGATCTCCTGCAAAACACTTATCTACAATCCACTTGGACGTATGGACATCCAGAGCGGCCAAACCCTGTTTGTGTCTACTCACTAATAGTTCAGAATAGAGATAGAATGACCAACATCATCAAGTAACAGTGTGTTCACCGAAGAATAGATAGCTCTTGCAAGGGTAATTCATGCCTAGCAGGTATCCTTGAAAATCGGAATAGCGCTGTTAATGAGGCTCAACCATCGACAACTTTATGAAGGATAATGAAAAACTTACTTCATTCAATAAAATACTCGCCACAATCTGCGCATTTCAAAATGACACCGCAACTTGAAGACGTCCCATGGCCTGCGTTGAGCCTGAAAGGTGCCCAGTAATGTCCAGAAACTTACCGCAGTTGCTTGCAATCCTCCTCCCAATGATGCAGAGGCCTCAGACCGGGTGCAGGTTATGGTGATGCTGCATGAATAAGAGTGTGATCGCTGTGATCGGCCAAAAGGTGTCATCCATTTGTCACCATCTATATAAACCAAATAGTGGCCATGATTATATATCACGAGTGCATTGAAACTTGAGGATATACTAAAGATATCACCTGGGTAGTCGTATGATCATGTTCTTTGCAATCAAGAGCCCATGAAAGCTCAAGTTGAAGAATCTCTGCATTGCAGTTCTCCCAATCAAGTGGTGCCCCTTTGGACCTGCCACTTTAAGAGTGGCAGTTCTGGGTGGTCAAGAGGTAACTGAAGAAAGTGCAAATCTTTCTCCACTGATCTAGCAAGCAAAATAAAATGGTCAATCATGACTTGGAGATGGTAGATAAATTATAAAAGCTCACAAAGCGGTCACCACCATGACAGTCGATCAGTATGATAGCACAACAAAGAATTTACAAATCCAACCATGAATAATAAGGATGGGTTTCATGCTAAGAGTAGAAAGCCTGAGTAGCCGTCACTATGCCAGCAGATGACTCAAGTCAGCTTGCACAAAGGAAGAAGACAAACAATAGTAAACAAAAAATTGCACCACCCTACTATTGAATTAGAATCCCTGACAAGTTATAATAAACATATAATATTGAACATACCTGGCTCGCCGCGTGTTCCACTCGATAGGTGCCCTCTACAGTGAGAAAAACAAAGAGTAGGTTCACAATAGATTTGATTATATACTGGTAAATCGACTATACAAAAATCAAACATTAGTAAGTATTACTCTGGTTTGCGTTGTATATATCTATCAATCTATCACGAGTGCGCAGCTTGTACTGCTGCCATCGCGTCGATAATTCTGGGTTGGGTAGAATGAACTCTCAAATATACTTCTGTAGCAATGCATGCTTAGGTTTGAAAGTAGTTACCCCAAAATCAATGGTCACTGCAAACCGCCCACCCACTAGCTCCATTAGAATGCACTCCACGGCCACTGTAGCTGTGCAATACAAGCTGTCAAGTTCTGTGATGAAAGGCACGTAACCAAGTTTCAGAATCGCGTTCAGAAGAACAGTTTCTATCACGGGATGTTCGAATGCAAACAATTTGTCGCGTTGGAGGTCAGATGAATTCCTGAATATGTATTTTAAGGGGAATGAAGGGTCGTCAATGAGGTCCTTTATCTCATCGATCTGATACTGTGGTTCGGACTCTTCAGACCAGATTGAGGGGTGCAGTTTGTATCCAAATTGAACAATGGCATGGGCGGCTTTTTTGCAGGCTGATATGATATCTGCCAATGGCAGCACAGTGAAGGTTCTATAGAACGCAGGTAGGTTTTCTGTAGCCCATCCGTTCCCATGCTCTGGTGGAAGCATCAGACACTGTCAATCTTAAGGTAGGTAGTACTGCGGCTTACTTTTATCATGTACCTCTGCTGTTGAAGCCAGTGCTCGAAGAGCTGCCTCCTTTCTTTCTTGCTCGCTCAAGAAGGGACAATCTACGAGTGCGGATCGAATGAGCGTTACACGTGCCTCTTCGAAAATTCTTTGGTGGATTCGGATCTTGTCGCTGTACTGTAAAGGTGCGAGGGCAGATGTTCGTGGGAGCACCATAGGCAGGGCAGCACCCGAAGAGCCCTGATAAGTCATGAGTAATTGACGATTTGTAAATTATGATTGCTCACCTTAGCGCTAGTGAGGCCCCTCAGCTTTGGTCGGGCGTGCGGGTACGGCCAAAATTTAATAGCCATTGGTTTTGCCGGCAGTTGGCGACTCTGTGATCCAGACAGATCAGGAATGGGAGGCGAGGCCTCCCTGACAGCAAATGTATCTCCAAGAGGTAGTGGCTCGTTGAGATGTAGCAGCGGCTCTCCGATTTGAAGAGGCTGAATATCCTCTGCCTCTGGCGTCAAAGTAGATATCCCGTCAACAGACACGATGGGAGGAGGATACAAATGTGGTGGCTCGGAGTCTGCATAAGACATAGTAGAAGGGTAATAAACCGGTGAAGGTTCAACAATACAGCGAGGCACGAACAAAGGTCCTGACTGTATCTATAAATGTTGTAAGGTCGTGCGTTGCCTAGTCTGCTATACTTGAGATGACAAGTGTGTTCGACCCTAAAGGGGAAGCGAGTGCAGCAAGGATCTAGAGGTATGCGCTGAAAGCGCTACTGGTTGGCCAATGCGAAGCGCGAGAAAGTGCAGGTGCGCGCAAGGCGCGGGAATGCGCGCGTGTATGGCGCGAAGCGTGGGAAAGCGTGCGCGTGTATACAGATACGAGAGAGAGTAAGAGTGAGTTTGCTTAAGTGATGATATGATGTAAGACAAGAGAAGAGAGATGCGAGGTGTAAACAAATAGATTTCTACTATGTTCTGCTAGGTAAATAGTGGGTAGTAACCAGTGAGTCCCTCCCTAATAGTATGTACTGCTGGCACTTATATATGGCGCCTAAGCGCTGTCATGCAGAGCCGAAGCGCTACCGAGTAAGGTATGTAAGGATATATGTAAGTAAGGGTCCATGATAAAAATAAAGATGGAACGATATGCAAATGTGAGAAATGGAAATATACGCACTAGGGAACTTGGTGGACAGTGGATGGATGCTTCCGGATGGCTGGCGCTATAAGGCGCTAAAGCGCAAGAAAGGTACGCGCGCATGGCGCGCGTTGCGCGGGAAAGCTGCGCCTCATATAGAGATAGCTGCGGGTAGCACACAGAGTGATGCTACAAGTTCGTGCCATGTACTCCCCAGTGAAAACTGCCATATTGCACAATGAGAGGCATGAGTCTCTACACCGGATGATACCCTGTGTGTGCATTACTAACGGCGAGCTGAAACAGGTCATGGAGGAGTGACATTTGCACATTCACGAAGTCGTCACGGTAGTAGAAGTCTGAGTCGTGGTGGGAAAATGAGACAGCCTGATCAGCTGGGGGATAGGTGGAATCCCTGTTTAGATGATTCACAAGCAGGAGCCAACATTTTGTCTGTGACAACTTTAGGATTGAAAGGCCATACACCGGTTTTTCGGAATGCAGATCTAATTGTTTCTGGTGTGAGTGCATGAACATGGGCAGCACCATAGATCACAAGGAAGTTGCTCTTTGTCACTTTCTCTCCGTTCTTGCGCTCCCATTTGTCACGTTCTTCTGACCAATACTGTTTAAGGACACTGAACACTGCAACATCCAGGCCCTGATAGATGTGGGTACTGTGTGCAGGATAGCAGAGGATGTGAATTCGGTGCTGTCGAGCATACTCCAGGAATGCACGAGTGTAGTGAGAATTATGCCCATCAACAAGAAGTAGGCGAGTATGACCATTAGCTTTGTTGCGTGTCTGCTCATCAAATTGCTTGATCCAGAGTGCACCAATCTCGCCGTCAGTCCAGCCCTTCTTCAAATAACCAATACTATGAGGAACAATGTTATATAAGGTACGAGACAACACATGAGTTGGACTCACGATGCTTTGAGTGGATTGTTTTCGTTCCACTTTGATTGATATGCTTTTCCTTTGAAGATCACTGCTGGTGCAATTGTACTCCCATCTGCGCAGATTGTGACCAAAACAGTAATGTTTTCACGATTTCCATTTCACTGCTGATATTGAACCTGTGTTCCAGCTCCACCAAGTGCTCATTCTTGTGAGCTCCCTCCTCCTGGTTGAATTCCAGTCTCGTCAACACCCCAAATACACTCTGGTGCCATAGGTTTGTCGTCATCTCCACTCTCCAGGACATCCTTCAACATTTCGAACCATGCCTTGTTAGTTGTTGGGTTCACAGCACGGCCACGAGCACCATCAAGTGAATGTGCTCGGTAAGCTCGTAGATGGTCAGAGTGCTTCTTGACGAAACACTGAGTCCAGTTTTTTCCCACTCCAGACTCCAGGAATGAATCTCCAAGTCGAGCTTGACATACTTCATCAACATGCTCCTTGAGCCACTTGTGGCTAAGGGGAAAGCCTCGTCTAGCCATTTCCACAACATATTTGAGAACTTTGTCTGTTTCTGCAAGTGTGAGCCAACTTTTCGTCGAGCTATTGAATTCACTAAGCCGAACTCCTCCCTTGGCAAGATTGGCCAAAGTATTATGATTTAAACTGATAACTCATCCCGTCTCCTTGAGGTACTCCTTCTGAACATTTATGCACACTTTCCGAAGGCCTTGTTTCTTCTCTGAGCTCGGTTTTGCAAGTTCAGCTTGGTACTTAGCCACAGCATGAGCCATGACTTTGTCTTTCTCCTCACGTGTGACCTGTGCCTTCTTCGTCAATGATTTTGGCCTCCCAACCATGTTGGAAGACTATATGTGTGATTTGAAGGTATATTGAATACTGGCAGTGAAAAGGAGATGTCGAGCGAGACTGAGTCAAACTGAGGACACCTCGTGTCCATGCTTAGTCTGGCTAACAAAATTGGACCATCACTCGTGGATCACAACGTGTTGCACCAATGAAACTTTAACTAAAATCATCTCCACTACTTCTAATTGTTTGCAGATAAATTGGAAGGGGTGAAACTATATGCAATGGTGAGGTTTTGATGCTCGAGAAATTCAAACATATTGCTCCAGAGTGATATTTTGCAGATTCTGATGATTTTCTAAATTTGAGTACTGTATTTTTTGGTACTATTAAATAGCAGGATATATTCTGAACATGATGATACAAGATTTACAAGGAGTTGATGAGGAACTCGTCGAGGAAATTGAATTGTACAATAGAGCGGTCCTGTACAAAGGACTGTGGGATCACTGTACCTCTTGGCGGTCCATGGATGGTGACTTCGACTACCAACAATTTTGGCGGACCATCGTTGACTTTTTCGAAAGGGCCCCTGGTCGAGAAGCGCAGCGCAGGGTGGCGAAACTTCTCAAATGGTGGACTAGGTGCGTAATTTTCCCTCCAAACCAAGCCTTACTAGAATTTCATTTTTAGAAAAGTTTTTGGGAGGAATCGCCGAGGCGGACTTAGCGACACAATGAAGGCCAATATGTCTGTCAATGCTCTCGCAAGGCAGAGAGCACAACGTGATGACACTGTGTTTGATTCACCCTAGATATTACTATGTTCCATATTAGATCTGCTGTTTGCTAATCAATGCGATAATTTAATGATGTTGATAAATTTAATGTTGTGTGCAACTGAATAATTAGAGTGATCTCTGGGGCACAACTCATTGAAGCTCTGTTCTAGACTCGCCTACCTGTGTTTCCGATGTGGAATTTAATACCCTAATGAACAATACATGAGAAGGTAGAATAGAGATACCCCTTTACCGAATAGTAACAGCGGCTTTGCATTGGGGGGCTGAATCACCGAGGTCCCAAATCCACGCGTAAAGATTTTCTCCTAAAGCGCGAAAAGAAATGCAGAACACTGATGCAAGGCAGAATATATAACATTGCTCCAAAATACACGCATAAAGGCATCCTCTTGAAGCGCGAAAAGACGCGCAGGGCGATGATGCATGGCGAAATATACATAAGGTTCGTCTACCCTGCAGATCTGGCTACCTGTCTTTAATGGGCTGGATCCAAAAAATATAGCACGATCATGAAGATATCTGTATTTCTATTCTTCATGTCAATCTTAGAATAGAAAGCATAGACTGTGAGATGAGCGCAATTGAAAGAAATATTTAATTCAAACTCCCACCGATGAATTCTTGAAAGTCGACATTTAACAAATCATCCTTGGAAATCTAGAGCAGATAACGTCAAAATTCAAAGTAGTACTTACGTTTGCTTTCACTCACTCAGTAAACACATCGTTGGTTTTCATAAGTACGATGCATCTGCTAGTCATCAGATAAAAGTAGAATGTCGTGTACGAACTCAAAGCAAGACTTATGTTGGTTCTCACGCACTTGATAGACATGTTCCGCTGTTCTGAGCAAATCTAACTTCTCAGGACACAGTCGCAAGCAGTATACTATTGTTAGCCATTAGCTACACAAAGAAGGTCGCCTTGAGACTAGAGGCATGATACAAATTGGTTGTCGGCCACTTGTTGGGCTGCCACGAAAAGGTACTGTAGAGATACGACACTAGGTTCGTCACGTGCAGCCCGTGACGATGTCACGCTTAGTCTTACAGGTTCGAATGTCCAGGTGACCTGTGACCTTACCCAAATAGATTCGCCTGCGGATCGTAGTGCTTCGCCGCTCGCAACGCCGTTTGCAACCATCTGACATGCTGCTTCGTGATTCAAGCAACTTGCTTCAGTCTGTCATGGATTCGCCTCGCATAGCGCTGACTGGTAACGAGTGGAATTGGAGATTCGCGAGCCTCGCAAGTCGAGAGGCATTGCAATATTTACGTGATGTTCAGAAGAATGATCCAGCTGGATGGACGAGGATTGCTACTGCTCAGTACAAGACTGTCAGCGTTGACCAGGCAACAAACTCCGAGTCAGAGAACGAGGCCACTGATACTACCGGAGCCGAATCCCCCTTCGACGATGCTAGCGAGCATGACCTCGATGCCAGTGACGTGCCAATGGATGCACTCCTTGATCATATGGCTTCCGGGGGTGAACACGTCCGTTCTGACTGCCGTATCGATGCAGATGGCGGACTTCTGTGTTCAAACCACTCCGAAGTCTATGATGTGGGTGACATTACTGCCAAAGATGTGGAGAGTGGCTCGAATAGTGTTCCGAAGGTTGATTACGGGCGTGGAAAGCGTAGACGCATCGCAAATTCGATGTATGATGATTTCTGGTCCCATTAGCGCATAACCTATGTTTTTTTTCCCATATGTCACAAATTAGCTTCGTCCCACCAAAAATTCATGTGACAGTCACACCAAATAGATTCGATTCGTTAAGGGCTGTGACCTGTGACGAACCTAGTGTCGTATCTCTACAGTATAGCTTATTCACACGCATTTCAAATTGATACATTGCTGACAAACATTCCAAACGTCATATTTGATGCGTTCAAAGTCGAAGCATGAAGGAATTTTTTGTGGTCATGTGCTCGGATGAATATCTCGTAGTTGAGAGGATATGAGCATTCGTGTTTACATTTGAATTTGGTATCAAAGTGGTGTTGAAATCAATTTTGATTCATGTAGATCAACCGGTAGCTGTTGTTCCACCTTCCCTTCAAAGTCGAAGCCATAAAGTATTTTTTTGTGGTCACGCGCTCGGATGAATATCTCGCAGTTGAGAGGATATGAGCATTCGTGTTTACATTTGAATTTGGTATCAAAGTGGTGTTAAAATCAATTTTGATTCATGTAGATCAACCAGTAGCTGTTGTTCCACCTTCCCTTTGACTTTCAGTTTGAGCGATGATGCGACCTCTTCCTGATCTTGAAGTTTTATAGTGAAATCATGTAAAACTCCTTTCCTATATAAGAGCAAATATGATAATGTGATGCTCGATAACAGAATTATGTTGATTGTTCTGATCATGTACTATATATTGCGATATATCGCCTTCTACTTTCCTCACCGATTCACTGATGTCACGGTGGTGAGTCAAAGTCAACAATGCGAATAAAGTAGGGCGAGAGTCGTTCAGAGAAAATGAGTCCTGTGAGCCGAGATCGAGACAGTTATGGTGTTGTGTCCGTGTTTGAAGGCGCCCGAGCTGAGCCATGCAGTAGAGCGTTTAGTAAGAACGCATGTTGGTGCATGTACTTTTTGAATTCATCGAAAGACCACTGACCTGCTACCTGAATGAGATCTGGTGTCATTCCCGTAATAGCGAGTGCTATGGCGCCTCCAGCTCTCACAGGATGACCTGACGTTGCCGTTCCGCGATGTTCATGTAACCGTCGGAGGAACGTATGAACTTGGCACCCGTCAACCACAGAGCGGGACGGAAGACAAACGCAGTGTCTCGGTAGGTAAAATATCGTCACAGCAGTGGCAATGGATCAAGTGCAATCACGGAATTTGACACGATGAGGATGGTCGTGTGAGTCCCCAAGCTGTCGTCAGTGGCTAGTGTTCGTTGCCTTATCAAGCAAGTTATTGACAACCACCATGCAGCATGATGCTGAAGTTGAATTTTTGAATGGCCTCGAGCTCGCTTTGGAACCTACGTGGCACCTTATCAAGCAGATGATGGCAGTACCGTGTAAGTCATAGTGCTGTAAGTTAGTCTTCCGCTATGTCTTCTGGGGCTAAGCTGTTCTCTAAAGACTCGGAGTCATTTGCATGGTTGATCTGTTGAAGCTACGGTGACCAATAGATATCTAGATATTTGCAGACGCTAAGCGTGACGATGTGGAACCAAGTCCGAATTCGGCGAACCCGGCTTTGACAAATCCACTTCAAATTTTCGACTGTATACATTACTAGGCGCCATCGCCGGCGATGACCTTGCTTTCGTTTGTAATTGGAAAGACGAAGGGAACGAGCGCACTTGAAACGATATTTTGGAAGGACAGAGACTGGTCACAATCCTAGCAAATGTATGAGCGAGGACTACGAATGCGGAAAATGCCGTTGTTTGTAATTGTAGACGATTCGGGGTTGGCATATGATCAAGCAAGGTGACGATTAAGGCTACCTTCCCGCATCTTCCTACTCTCACTGTCACCGTCTCGCGGCTTTTTCGAATCCTGAATGCTCTGAAGATACAATCAATGGGGTTAGAAATATTCAGCCGCATGTACGCCCATTACGGTACGCCATCGCGGTCTTGTGACGTTGCACTGATAACTCTAGCAGATTCTAAAGGCAATATTCTTCGTGGCGCATTGCGGCAATGTGAGTCAGGCTCAAGAGAATGATAATGTAGTTCGGCTTTGGTCTTCAAATGGGGGTGAGTTCAGCACGTTGGATTGTGGGGTTTGACGTTTGTTGGCTAACACACGTTGATGTATCCAACGACTATCCAATACATTGAACCCACTGTCATTTCGCACCCTTGTGATATATATCTGCAGTGGCCAAATGACGGGCAAGTCTGTGTCAATCATGACAAAATTCAAAATTCTGTATCGTACTCCGTAGAACGAGACCCTCAGGTCTCGGATCCAAGAGACACCGTCACATCTCTGGACCCCGGTACTGGTAACACCGCTCAGTTTCGAATGTCGGGCGCTGGCGCAGTTGAGTATATCACCTGCTTTTAATAACCACGAACGAGGCTCGAGTTTCCCAAGTGGCTATATGTTTGCAGATACCCAATAGGCGTCCTACCATTTCCTCCTCACTATCATTCGTTTTATCGGTGCACGTTTACTTGTCTGCGGTGTGATAAACCCAAATAACCCATACACTTCCGCCATTCGCAAGTGGTGTGGGAACATGAATTGTCTTCTGTCGTACTTGCTATGATATTGACGTATTTCTATTGAATAGGTTGTACCACTTCTCAACGGGCGTCCCACGGCGGAGGCACCCGTGAACTGCATGAATATGATAAACAGTTCCCCGTCCAAAGGCCCAGGTGCCACGTTGCATTTTTGTTAGCACCTGGTACATAAATTTCTCCTTCGCATATGGGTCTGCTACCTATTTCTCCCATTGTGCCGTCAAGATGAACTTCAAAGATGAAGTCAATGTGGACGCTGTCGCCCGGGATAGTCTGGAGAAGCTAGGCTACAAGCAAGAGATGACACGGGTTTGTACTTGTGCTTGTTCCTGTTCGATAAATATGTGATGTTCGCGGTCGTTGCTAGTCTCGAGGACTAGTACAAATATTGTTCAGTGCGTAGAGCGTTCCTTTCACTGCGTCACAGAAATTGAATGCTTCCAAACAAGTGACGCTAGGTCAGTCCACCGGCTTGAGCGAAACTGCCCACTGAACTGTTGACCCAATGATTTGGTTAGCAATCATGGCAGTCCGTATGTCTGAGCAGCGATTTTTCTCAACGCCACGACTTACCCTCTGGTAGCATTCAGTCTTGCAACGCCAATAGCAACGTCGCTCATTGGAGGTGGTCCAGCGGTAATGATATGGGGGTAAATGTACACTTTCCACCTTATCTAGAACGTGATTTGACATATTGTAGTTGGATCCTGGTTTCAGTCCTGACCCAAACCCTCGCTCTTTCACTGGCGGAGATATGCTCCAAATATCCTACATCAGCAGGGACATACTACTGGTGTTATCGACTTGCGTCCCCCCGCACGCGACTTCTTTCCTCCTGGATCAATGGTTGGTTGACGGTCGTTGGTAGTTGGACGGCTGATTTGAGTGTCAAATTTGGTATTTATCCCTATGCTTTGTCACTTCCGATTACCTATATCAGTAACGCATTTTCCCAGCGACTGCTCAACTTGTTGTTGCCGGAGTCGGAATATATTATTCTGAATGGGACGCGACAGCATTGCAAACATGCAAGGATCCTTCTGTGTAGTAATATTTCGCTCGCTGACCACTTAATTCCCCGATGTAGACATGATTTTCCTCGGCGTGACTGCTATTGCTGGCATATTCTGCATATTCTTTAACAGGCTCCTACCAACCATCGATGTAGGTCCTCGCCTGTTTATTGTTACCGAGATACCCATAACCTGCCAGATTATTTGTGCTTGCTGGACGGGTTTAGGCATCATCGGTACGTTTTACCGTGACTGTTCTTTGTTTATTATTATCCTAAATTTGAATGTTTGAAGTTATCTCGATATGCTTGTTAACCAAGGCCGCAGTAGGCCGTCATCCCGCCTCTTTCGCGCTCTGGAACTTCGATCCCTCATTTTCAGGATGGACGCCTGGGTGGTCGTTCTTCATCGGTATATTGCCGGTACGATCGCTATTACCTATCGAAACTCGTACTCAATATTACCACAATGAATCAAAACAGCCTGGTAAGATGTTAACGTTATTTATCACAGTGGGATAGGGATCTGAACCATGTCTCAGCATATACATTCTCCGGTATAGGAATGAGTACGTCTCTCACAGCGGTCATGACCATATTCACCCGGCTGATATTCAAGAATCAGTCACAAATATGGCCGAAGAGGTTTATAACCCTTCTGAAATACTCCCAAAGGCTATCACCTGGTCCATACCCATTGGCACATTATCTGGCATATTATTCCTTCTCCCAATCCTTTTCACACTCCCAGATGTCGACACATTGCTTCAAGGTTAGTTTTATGCTGAGGTAACTCGTGCTCCTCACGTAATATGCCATCCAGTTTCTTCCGGTCAACCTATTGGTGTCATGTTTACTTTGATCATGGGCTCCAGGGCTGGTGGTTTCGGGCTAGTGAGTGTCCATCGTGGCCTTTCGTCCGGCGCGCTGCATCTCTGATTTGGCGGGGTATCCAGTGGTTCATTAGTACGTTACAATTGGTCTCCACCACTGATTAGGCTAGCTTTCTCATCAGCTTCCAAAGTATTCGGTATCGGTATGTTTTGTTCAATGTCCACGTCGTGTATCAGTTCTCGTGCAACATGGGCGTTCGCACGTGACAAAGCTATTCCATTTCATCGGTGGTTCTCCAAAATCGGCCCTTACTTTGGAGATGTCCCCGTGAACGCGTGTGCACTCTCCACCGTGATCGAAGTTCTCCTTGGACTCGTCTACCTCGGTTCCTCAGCTGCATTCAACGCTTTTGCAGGAGTCGCCGTCATGTGTCTTGGAGCATCTTACGCGATGCCCATTGCCATCTCGTTGATGGACGCCCGGCGAGACATGCATGATGCCCCATTCAACCTTGGCAGGTTCGGTACCATCATCAATGCAGTCGCGGTGCTGTGGATCATATTTGTCACCGTGCTATTCTCGATGCCTGCGGTCATCCCAGTAACGATGTGGTCGATGAGTGAGTGGCTTTTGGTCACGTGGGTGGGTTGATGCACTGAATGTGTGCGGGTAGATTATGCTTCGGTAGTGTTTGGGGGGTTCGGGGTGATTAGTGCAGCGTGGTACATGATCAGTAGGTCGTTTGCTTGCTGTTTGGGAACTTCTTGGGATTAATGTCATTCAGACGGCCGGTTTTACTATAGAGGACCTCCAATCCAGGAGGATTCAACTAGCTCGTCCGGATCCTCGGACTCTGCTTTGAATTGAAATAATTCTCCGCGACAATCGTGGTGAAGATACTATCATCAAACGATGGTGGTCAAGATCAAGGTGTCAGCGCATGGTAGCTCTCGCCTTTCGGTCTCCCATGCATATGGTTGTGATTATTTATAGCAGTTAAGCCATTGTGCAGAGTCTGTAAACATGATGTTGTGTTAGACTAGACTAGATGTCGCATGATGGTGAAGAACCCCTTTTTTTTCAAAGTAAAAGCCTAGTACCACTCCAATGGTGATTTTGTGGTTGCAAGTGCATTTGATCTAATGTCAGCGGCACGTTGAGCTAGATCAGAGAGTTGTGGCGAAGCTCCAGAAGGAAATAATCAAATAGAGTGGTAGAACAGATAAGATAGAAGGCAGGGAACTAAACTACTAAGAGTCGCATCCTGATCATGCGTTGATTGCCCGCTAGTCTCGGTAATAGACGGACCGCTCGTTTCATCAAAGGTGCCTGACGGGCAACCCGGCCCCGTAGTGACCTGACCACAGTAGGATTATATGAGCGAAGTGAACCTCAGATCCCAAAATCATAGGAGCCGCAAAGCGACGCATTAAGATGAGGGGACGGTTAGTAACAAAGGTAGCAAGAAAGCATAATTGCGGGCCCATTTGCGTCAATGCAGGTGTCCATGTCCACAGAAGTGCGCGGATCTATACATGCGCACTGCAGCAGGTGTTGGCAAGGAGATACTTTGGGGCCGCTCGTTTGCCACTGGGGTGGGTGATTCCTCCCTTTAATGATCAGGTTCCGTGGTGAGAGAGTTCACAACGGTGAACTTCCTACACGAGTAAGCTTGAGAGAGCAATGCTATAGCACTCTCGAGTGCTCTCTACTTATGGCCGGCTTCCCCCGCCGGACTTGCCTTCATTGCATGCAGATGGCACACAAGTTCAGACCTGAGTCATCAAAGCTCACCGAAGTTTGTGACAAAGAAAACCCGAAAGGTGGCAGGCTGCAGACAGGGCGCCGGAGCTTACTGGAGTGTATCCTGGGTGCTGTGTGGTTGAGGGAGAAGCCACATGCTGCACGGCCACTGTACGAACCCTAACCCTACACTCGTACCTCACTTCGGGATAGAATTCCCAACCGTAGAGCCGCGGAATTCTTTCCTATATATCAGTTCTTTCGCCCCCCCTACGGCATCATCGTCTACTAGTAGTAGTACGCCATTAATGTGGTAGTGGGACGCGAAAAGAACTTTCACTGTAGTTCTTTTCACGCTGATGGACACCCCTTGCTTATCAGCCGCTCATACTTAAGGTTCTCCACAAGGGCCGCTGCGCATCTAAACCGCATGAGTACATATGATGGGCAATCTTTATTCCCAAGCTAGAGTTCTGTTCGCATCCGAAGCAATATATGCATCACCCTTGCCCCATATCAGATGCCGTTACTTTTCTTTGTGCTACCACGATGAGCTTGAAGGATCCAGTCGATGTGGACGCTGTTGCCCGTGTCGGGCTGGAGAAGCTAGGCTACAAGCAGGAGATGACACGGGTTTGTGCTTGTTCTTGTTCACCTCGGTCCGCATCTCATGCCTTTGGTCGTCACTAGTCTAGAGGACTGGTACACATCTTGTTCAGTGAGTAGGGCGCCCTTCTCGTCGTGTCGCACAAATTAATATACATTCCAAAAGTGACGCTGGGTCAGTTCTTCAGTTCAAGCGAAGACACATCCTGATCTGTTAGTTTAACGATTCAATTAGCAATCATGGCAGTCCGTGCGTTTAAGCAGCAGTCTTGATGAATACTACGACTTACGCCCCTTGTAGCATACGGTCTTGCGGCTCCTATCGCGACATCGCTCGTTGGAGGTGGTCCAGCGGTAATGATATGGGGGTAAATTTACCCTTTATAGCTCGAACATGATTTGACACGGTGTAGATGGATCCTGGTGTCAATCTTGACCCAAACACTCGCTCTTTCACTTGCAGAGATATGCTCCAAATATCCCACATCGGCAGGGGCATACTACTGGTGTTATCGACTTGGATCTCCACACACGCGAGTTCTTGCCTCTTGGATCAATGGCTGGTTGACAGTCGTTGGTGTTTGGACGATTGCTCTGAGTGTCACATTTGGTATTCCATCCTGTGCACATCACTTCCGAGTATAACTGATGCAGTCTATCAGGAACCGCTCAACTTATTGTGGCTGGTGCCGGAATATACCACCCTGAATGGACTGCAACGGCGTGGCAAACATGCAAGGCTTCATCTATAGTCCATCAATATGGTTTTCTGACCAGTCTATGACTCATTCTAGATATGATTTTCCTCGGCGTGACTGCTGTTGCCTGTTTGTTCTGCCTATTCTTTAACAAGCACCTGCCGGCCATCGATGTAAGCTCTCACTTACGGATCTACTCTGAAATTTATACGTTGCCAGATTATCTGCGCTTGCTGGACTGGTTTAGGCATCATCGGTACGTTTTGCATTGTAGCTCGTCCCTCTGCGCTGAGTTGAGTCGTTTCAAGTAATCTTGATATGTGTATCCGTCAAGGCTGCGGCAGGACGCCATTCTATCTCTTTTGCGCTTGGACATTTCGATGCATCTTATTCAGGATGGACGCCTGGGTGGTCTTTCTTTATTGGTACATTACCGGTATGATCGCTGTTAGATATTGAAACTCTTACTCAATACTCACGATGCATTTAACAGCCTGGTGAGAAGCTGTTATTTACCAAGCTGTAAGACTCAGAGCTGAACAACATCCTAGCATACACATATTCTGCTATAGGAATGAGTACGCCAATACCTTTGCATCATGTTCACTGACTTACACCTTGAAACCAGTCACCAACATGGCCGAAGAGGTTCACAACCCTTCTGAAATACTCCCGAAGGCTATCACCTGGTCCATACCCATTGGCACATTATCTGGCATAGTATTCCTTCTGCCAATCCTTTTCACGCTCCCGGATATCGACACTTTGCTTCAAGGTCAGTTTCACGCTGGAGGAACTTGTGCTCTTCATTTATATATGTCAACCAGTTTCTTCCGGTCAACCGATTGGTGTTATGTTTACTTTGATCATGGGCTCTAAGGCTGGTGGTTTCGGGCTGGTGAGTCTGTCACGACCTTTCGTCCGGTGCTGCATCTCTGATTTGGATTGGTGTTCAGTGGTTCATTGGTACGTCACAATTGGTCTCTACCAAGTAACCTCGCCCTCTTATCTCACTATTCGAAGTATTTGGTATCGGTATGTTTTGTGCGATCTCCATATCTTGCGCCGCTTCTCGCGCAACATGGGCGTTTGCACGCGACAAAGCCATCCCATTCCATCAGTTGTTTTCAAAGATCAGTCCATACCTCGACGATGTCCCCGTCAATGCCCTGCTACTCTCCACCGTCATCCAGATTCTCCTTGGACTCATCTACCTCGGCTCCACGGCTGCATTCAATGCCTTCGTGGGCGTCGCTGTCATGTGCCTCGGAGCATCCTACGCCATGCCCGTTGCGATGTCGCTCATGAACGCCCGGCGAGACATGCATGATGCCCCATTCAACCTTGGCAGGTTCGGTACCGCGATCAATGCAGTCGCAGTACTGTGGATCATGTTCGCTATGGTGCTATTCTCAATGCCTGCTGTCATCCCAGTCACGAGGGTTTCGATGAGTGAGTGTATTTGTCTTGCGTGTGTGGGCTGAGACGCTAAATATAATCGGTTAGACTATGCTTCGGTAGTGTTTGTGGGCTTTGGGGTGATCAGCGCTGTGTGGTATTTGATCAGTAGGTTTTTTGTTTGCACTTTGGCAACTTGCTTATCGTGGTTTAGATGGCCAGTTTCACTATACAGGGCCTCCCATCCCGGAAGAGTCCGCGGCTTCCTCGGAATCCAATCGGTCGACCTCCCCACTTCAAGGATGATTTAAAAAGTCGAAGGTCTACCATGTCATGGTCTCCCTGCTATTACAGTATTACTTTCAAACTATGTACAAAATGTCTTGAGTTCCCTGCGCTTTGATTGCAATGAATCACATTCAGATTCCTTCCTAAATAATGGTAACAGGTATTAGAGGGTATGAGATATCATGCAACGAGTGTCAGCAGCAGGAAACATGGTATAACAATAGCAAGCAAGTGCAGTGAAATGATATGATTGGAGGGAGCAATCACGCCCGATTTCACTACGCGCGTAGTTTCGGGATCACTTTGACCATTTGGTCAATGTTGATAAACTGGACCCAAGCCTCTAGATCTTTCGCGTTATCATGCCAGATGAATTTAGACTCCTTCGTACCCCTGAAGAACGCGCATGCACACTGATACGATTCCTCGAGCATGACCCCACCCATGCGTTGTACGCCGAGCTGAGCTTTGAATACACGGAACTCCCATCCCTGTAGTGGGTGGTCATCACCGCGCGCGGACTCGGAGGGAATGTTGAATTCGAGGCGTGACCAGTCGAAAGCGGTGCTCTGGCCAACAGCTTTGATATATGCCGCTTTAAGCGAGAGGAGGATGGAGAGGCGCCGAAGAACGACTTCGTCCCCGAGTTCAGGATTGAGGAAGGTCATCTCTAGCGGGGTTAGCTGTGGCCAGTAGCTCGTTAGTCTTTGGTGATATTCTGTGCCTGTCGTTTGGCTTACTTTATGTGCAAAGGATTCAGCGTAGGCTGCTACTGAGACACCCTTGGGCTCTACGGAAATCTGTTTAATGCCCAACCCGATGTTTATTACTTGGCGCTGCCGTCCCTGCGTCATCACCATGCCGCAGAGTGAGTTGTCATATGCGAGGTGGTATCCAATCATGGACTGTAGAAATTTTTCTGGGGGCATGTCATCCGGTGACTGTTGTAGGGAAGTGCCATGAGTATCGATGAGTTATGCTACTCTGAGAGTCGATACTACCGCTCACCTGCTCGATCCAGTGCTTTCCATTCGAGGTAACGCAGTCTTTCCATTTTGCACGCGATATTCGTCGGTGGCGCATCATAAGAAGGGGTAACATGTGGCAAATAAGCTGTCCTGCTGAGCCGTCAGAACCCAAATCAAGCGAGTAGTGGAGTGGTGCTCACGGAAAGAATCTATAGAAGTAGGCTGGTACGGCAGTCTGGCATGAGGGACGCAATCCTGCACAAGGTGAAAACATTTGTCGTACTCCTGCGGAGACAAGGTCAGGCGCTGGACTATCAACAACAATATTGGTCAAACCTCTGTCAATACATCACGATTCAGTGAGAGCATCCAGACGAGAAGTGGACAATCCATGGCCATTGTTTCACAGGGACTGAGAGAGAATTCAAACAGTCTATTACTACGGGCGGTGGCGCAGTGAATGAATGCAGCGCACCTGAGTGATCTTGGGCCTATAATTGGGCAGTAAAATTACAAAATCCTGGTGCTAGCCGCAGTACAAGTCTTCAAATTTATCCAGGAAGCAAGGTGGAGGCCACGGAAGATACACAGCAATGGCGCACGCCCTGGCACAGTAGGTTCATTATAAGGTGATCACCAGCCTAACAAGCAAACCGCACAATTTGGGTCGCCACGTGCCGGGCCACCGGAATTCTGCCTGTCTCTTTTTTTTTTGATTGCAGTTTCGTTTCACGTGAACAACTCGAAGGCACTCTCATCTCGGCCATGCATGATCAGTACGTGTTTGACAGCTGTCGTCGACAATACTCGAGGACGTCGGAGATGAACAGTGATACTTTTTAGCTTATCTCTCAAGTTTGCAGTCGACCGCGTGCCGCATCTGGATTGTGCTGTCCTGATTCGAATCAGATCCGATTCCAAGAAGGCTGTCCTGTGGAGAGACACATCCTCCCATGATTTCGACTTGCTATTTGAACCCTAGCACTACCGGTTACAGGGTATCACCAGCTCTAATAGCTAGTCCCTCGCCCAAACAGAAGACAGTCAGAGAATCGTGGGCCCTTCTCGTGCAAAGCACCCAAATGGATTTTACTCCACTATCTGCTCAGCTAGAAAGTTCGGGAGCTGCACGCACTTAATGCATGCATGATGAAACCACCTAAAAGGGTAAGATGGCCCTGAGAGGACTCCGACTTATCTTAGTACAAGTTCCAAGTAACCACATTGCGTTAGAAGCAAATACAGGGATTGCCTGCGGCCTGCTCATTCATTTCAACACCCTCACCGCCGCTCAATAGTCCACCCACTGTATTCACTGCATCTGCCGACGGCAGCGGCTCCAGTTCCTTGACCGTCGGACTGACGCGCTGAGCTACATCCGTGGCCAATGGAGTAAAGCCACCTGCTTCTGAGGGCATCTCGCAAGATGCCCTGATCGTGATATCTGATCGTGTCATGGAACGCATGAAGTTCAGAAGCTTGATAGCAGGCTGCAATCGAAGTCAGGTGGGAATCATTCTGCTAGCCATTGAAACACACGTACGATACGCTTAATACTTTCATCCTTCGCGTCCTTGGCACTCGGTTCAAGCTTTTCAAGCCACACCAAGAATGGAACGAGACGCAACGAGATGCTTGTGACCTTATGGTCGACTATCGCGTGCACAACAGGCCGCATAACTGCCCCCACGCTATCGGCCTCGGGTGTACGACATTAACCGCAAAGGGAGGCACTTCTTCCGCGAAAGCCACATCAAGAATAGCATTTGATACAGCGTGGGGAGGGATCCAGCTTAGAAGCTGAACCGTGTGTCAATGATGGGTACCTCCTGGGTACGTTCGGGAAAGATACACTTATCGGGCTTTCGGAAGCCCACCTAGACCGACAGACTTGACGATGATCGACAGCTATCATGTCGTCGACCAAGCTCCTCGTGGGTGCCTTTGATCAGTTCTAAACCTAAACGAGGGTGCACTTGTTGACCTTGTTTGGCAGATTTGTACACTCCTAGAAGCAGGATATGACTTACCCTTTCACAAACGTATTTACTCGCAGCACAGCCAGGGCCAAATTCTGTGACTATACACGCGTCGCACTGCATTTTTTTCCAGGAAAGGTCTATTCGCTCTATCCCAGCCTTGAGCAGTTGATGCAGGATAGGTGAACATGGAACCCGGCCTTGGATGGCGCGAAGAAAATAGTGTGAGGTCTGCGTTCCCCTCGCTTGAGGCTCTAAGACGGCGGCGCCGGTTACAGACGTGCGGATCTACGTTATGTTTGAATGTATTTGAATTGACTATTATAGTCAGACTGGCAATGAAACAAACCTTGTGATACAATTGCTCATCCAGACCCAGATCATAGTGAGAAGTATCAGTTTCTACATGCACCAGCCCCTCCGACACGGAAGGGTGATATCCAGGCTGCCTCCTTTGAAACCAAATTTCTGTCATCGTTCGTTAGATGCTGATGGACGATCTAAGGCATATACGCTACAGACACATCCCCGTGCTGGAGCAGATATGAAAGCAGGTATGAGCCAAGACCGTCTGTGGACCAACTGTGGACCCAGTCAAGATAACCACATAATCACCTCGCCTGCGTCCGTCAATCAAAGTAACAGAGTCATTTCGATCATGTTCTCGATGCCAATTTTGGTATCAACCGGTATTGTATGACTCTCGTGAGCTGGCTAATCGAAAAATTTGAAAAAAAAAACGATGTTCTGCGCGATCCCTCAGGGAGCCGATGTTTTTGAGGAATATCGCGGACAGACTAGACGTAAGGGGGGTCAGTAGAACATAAACCTTAATTTGCCCTCGACCCGCCTGTCAAAGCCTTGAGCAAAGAACTATCAAGTATCAACCACGTTGGCAGCACTCACAGCAGCAGCATGCCACGAGCCAGCTCTCAACGTTATCTATAGTCTAGTTCGTACTAGGCAAAGGCACATCAATGCCTGCTGTAGTGCTGCCCTCCACCTTTTCGTACCTGTCGCCCATGAATGTCATGTTCGCGCATTGGCGGATGTATGAAATGCTCATAGGGCATTGATCTCCTCGTCGTTAAACTTGACAGTTCCCTTTCCAACTCGCAGCACGCACTTTCACTGCGTATCACAAGAACGATCTCCTTGAAGATCCTGCTGGAAGCAGGAGCCTCCTGATTCGCTTCTATATCTGGCCTTCAAGTTCACCGGTATCGTCAGACTCGATAGCAGCAAGTGTATGTGGCACGAGCTTACCAAACTCCATTCCTGAACCCAGCAAGCCGCTTCCCGTCATCGACGTCGATTTCGTGCCCCGCCCGTAGTACTATGAGGATTCCGACATGGTTGCATCCCCCGGTTGAACATGACGGTACCGTTCACGTAGGGGTTGGCGACAATAGTACTCTATATGAGTGCTGGCACTGGATTTTCGCCAGATGAGAGCACTAACACGTCATTCATCTTCCTACGCTGCAAGGACAATATCAGAAAGCGATATGGATGACACGAGCTTCTGTGTTACATCTTCCACATACCCTCGACTGTTGGATGTTTGATAATACATCTGAAGAAGCATAACCTTTGATGTCCGAGAGATTCTCTGTGCCAGAACTATTCGCGAGCAACTTGAAGTATTCAAAAACTGAGAGGGGATGTAAAGACCGAGACCTACCAAAACTCGACATTCATATATATTGTCTTTCTGATGGATCCACCTGATCTTGAAGTTTGGTCCAAATCGCACCCAGACCTTTAATATTCGCACAACTTCATCTCGGAAGAAGCAAGTCGTGTATCCCACTTCTGTAGCACCGTAAAGAGAATGCAGCTTGACCCCTGCATCCACTAGAGTATCTCCTACTATCTTGGGTGTGAGCGGACCACCGGCAAAGGCCTATCACTACAGATAATGTGAGCCATTCCTTGTCTGAAGACTCAATAATGAACTTATGACATACAACATATTCGAGCGTCTTCTACTTGTCAACAACATTGTGCGACAACATCTTTTGCTCCAGGAAGCTGGGCACGACTACTACTGAAGTATTCGACTTCGCCTTGACTACAGAGTTCAAGAAATTTTGCAAGTTGGGAATCATAGGGGGCCGCCGAGGGGATTTGGGAGGATGCGAGTGGGTAAATAGACACACTGCTGAGGGAGGCGACTGGTGTGAGCAGCTGAATATATAAACCAATAAAACTATGGCAAATGTGCAGAACCAACGCGGATGGGATGCTAGAACCATCTTAGATGCACAGATTGTTTCAGTGACTCACAGGATTAGGGCTATGTAGTGAATAACAGTCACATTAGATATTGAAATAGGTTTTGGGAAGCCAGTACTACCTGAGGAATGCATGCAGAATATCATGACATTCTCAGACGGCGGCCGTAAAGCTGAGGGAGGATATGGAAGAAGAGCTCCGTTTGGAGAACCCCTGACGAGTGCAGGGTACAGCTCGTTTCAGTACCTGAGACTCGAAATCCCCGTCGATGAGAAAATTGAGAGAGCACGGGGAGTGGTGATTAAATGACGGCAGTTCGTTTTCTGCATCATGTTAATTTGCCACTACTGAATTACGAGGCGAATGGCTTAAAATAGGTGTAGTCAGAACGTTGCTTAGGAAACGCATTCACATACAAGCAATCCAATGAGGATGATACTCCATGAATACCGCTAGGTGTCTGAGTTCCCAGAGCGACGATCTTCCTGTCTGCTCCTGCACGACCTGGTCCAATTTTCTGGGTGGCACGATGGCAAGCTCGATAGAATTCCAAGTGTAAGATGGACACCAGGTCCAATATTGCCGTATATTTGTCATCGATAAACAAAGTGAGTTATGTTGCGTATTGAATCCCAGCGAAATGAAGATCCCTCATGGAGAGAATGTGTGGTGTGAAGAAACCATGATGGATGATATATTTACGGTCGCGAAGCTGGCTGTTGGGAAGACAGAAGACTCAAGAGGCTATGAGGGCCAGGTGCGCGCAGTACTAGAGTATTTGTGTTATCATGAAGAAGAGTTTTTTTTTAGCAAGGGTCATGATATCAGATAGTCCCAAGCCTTACTATGGCCGCTCCGAAGGAAAAAAATTGCTTGCTGTATGGAGCATTTGACGTTGCCTTTGCCATTCAGATTCCAGAATTATCACGGGCAAACTCGCAGTGTGCAATGATTCTATGAGAGTGTACGAGTTCTAGTCAGTTACTGTCCGGAAGCGTAACGTTATATTGCAGTAGGGTCGTAGCTTCGAGTAGTCATCCAAGGAGTGTCCTTTGGGCTTTGTCGTAGCGTAGCGACAACGGGGCCCTGTGGCCGGCTGTCTGCATGACGATTGTCAAACACGCAATTTCGTGGAGTCGATGTACGGTGACCCTCCAGAGTTCGGGCCAGATAGAGAAGCTACACATAGTTTGACATGAAAGAGTAGTTGAAGTTGGTGCCAAAGGCATTGTTAGTATAACGATGGCCAAAGACCGCATTATATATACTGACTTCTCCATCCTGCAGACGCGTCAGTAAAGCTGGGGTCAGAGAGAGGGAACAAAACACACGTACGGGACAATAAAATGGCAGAATAAAATAAGAATTGAGTGGGGCTAAACACTGATGGCTAGTTGTTTGCTAGTATACTAACCGAAACTGAGCGTCCGATCGTCCTGGTCCATTTGATTTTCGACCCGTTCGTGATAAGTTATTCCGGATCCACAGCCATCAACAGGTCCTTTTGTTTCGGATCTGGTTGGGTGCACATGTAAATCTTGTCTTCTTCTGATACTACATCGCAGATGATCCGACACCAAATTGGTAAAGACGATTGTGGAAACCCCATTCATTGATAGTGTTGGAAACATAGGAGGAAGCGATAAATATTGCAATAGTTTACACGGCGCAAGATTGCTCTTCAATAGGATATACCTTGCATGTCAATGGTGGGTTCTCACTCTCCATGTCGTGCGTCGAGGTATCGTCAATTTGAGTAATACGGGATATATGCACCCGCAAAGGTTTCACAGAAGGCAAGGTTTCTTGTTCTGTCGTCGTCCCTCTATGGAAAGTCGTCAAAACGTAATCTTGAGCGTGTTTACTGATCGCGACGCGAAGGAGCACCATGTAGAAAGCAATTGAGATGATCGGCACGAGCTAGATAATCGAAGCTCAGATGCTTGATAACAAGTGTTAACAGCGGACGCACCATGTCCAGCATAACATACTGCCCATTGTTCGAACAGACGAAACAGATGAGTGTGGGGAAGAGCACCACAGAGTACAAAATGGCGGCATCCACGAGAACCCGCAATATGGGCGTTAAGGTTCTGTTTGAAGTGCGTAATGCAGAGACGTTGCACTCAATCTTCCAGATGCGATATGCCAGTAAACCTGGTTACGTTCAGGTTGGGATGAAACTTCGACATTGTGCTGGCATAGAAACGTACTTACCTGAACTTATTAGATTAGTCGAAAGTGTCAAAGCGAAGAAAGACTGTCCAGTAGCCTTCGTGAAGATATTTCCAGCATTGCTAGTTGCTTGCGAAACGCTGTAGACTGCAGAAAAACCGGTGACTTCAAGGCAACGTTAGAACACACGACTTTTTGAGCATGGTTGTAAACTTACATGCACTACAGCACCACAGTATATTTGGCAGAATAACGATCCGGGCAGATCGCCAAACAACGTAACACCGGTATATCTTTGGTTGGAGTTACATTTCTATAAGTCAAGAGGGTTCCAAGCTGGCAGTCAGAAAGTTGGACCCACCACAACCCCATCGCCAAGCAGAGTCTGCGAAATATATATCGCATTCTTGATCACATATGTAATTTGGGACACGTCCGCGAAGAATGCTGCGGGCCCGCCTGGAAACGTGTCACGATACTTCATCAATCCATCTTCAAGGCGAATGATGTCTACGATCATGTGCTTGGGGAATTTCAGTAGTTGATACAGCATTAAAGAAGCGAGAAACTAACTGCGGTGCTCAGTATTAACAACATGACGGTCACTGCAACAATTAGGCGATTGACCTCCCGCAGGCGACGCTTGTAGGTTAGCGCCCAAATGGTACCTATAAACATGAGGATGGAGAACCCTGAAGAGCAACTTGTAGCTTAGTACTAGAGTACACATGTGATGAATGAACTATTTTACTCGCCATATAGAATACCTTCCAGTGTAGTTGACATTATGGCAGCCACATCGAGCGGAATGCCTCTTGAAGTCATGGTTGCAATGGAGGGGATGTACAAGGGATGTACCAGGGATGACTTGGAAGGCTGAACCTTTACCAGCTCCATGGATACGTCTTAACTTCGCTCGATATCATGATGCTGGCATTGTCACTGAGACGACCTTCAAAGTTTCGGTAATACCGAGACGCAGATACTGTGGGCTATGTGACATACGTCGGAAAAAAACCTATAATGCCACAGGTTTAGTTAGTGCCTTCAAAGTGCCTTACAACTTGAAGACCTTGGCATCATCGAAAGACTACAAATTGGTGCCGGGAAGCTGTGTTCACTGTTCAACGTAAGATATATATGATTACAAATGCCCTATATATCGATAGACCAGAATTCACTTCCGCTTTTATTGGAGGCTGGGCGCTCGAGCGCTGAGCGACGCCATTTACATAAACAGAAGTGATGCTAGCTACTTCAAGTCAATTAACGCCGAATCTCTCCTCGAGGGCAGGTGCTCGGCTCACCTGAGTCTGTTGTGTCAAAAGCTCAGGCCACCTACATGCCACCTTCGGTGATGTATCTCCTCGGGCTCGTAAATACGAATGATGACTAGTCTTCTTACAGGCAGACTCGATGCAGATTTCACACTCGTCAACGGGCGCAGGTCGCCGGTTCATTTCTCCCCAGTTGACAACGACGGGAAACAGGACCCTACCAACGGTCAGGGTGGAGGGGTTGACATCCGAGTACTTGTACCATCCACAACAAACGCCAGGGATCACTATACCACGAACAGCACAACAGTGGTTCCGCGAGTTGGAAGACTTGCGCATTTAAACGGCCGGCGGAATGGCGGACTAATGGAGGCCACGCCTCCATCCGGGCACTTAGTGCTTACTTTTCGTGCACTGACTATCGATTAGCGGATTGCAGGCACACCTCAACTCGCCCCTAGACATCTATATCTCATATAAGGAGAAATACAAAACCGAGGGAACGGCCAAGGAGGCGCTTCCCGCGATCTCTTTGTTGTTCATTGACTGCTAGTGAGCCCACATTTCGTCATTTGCGACTTTCAAGGCCACAGAAAGATGGCTTGTGCAAGTGCCAAATGTAAATCCAGTATTAACGCTCCACCATGCACCACAGTCGAGCCATTATAGCATGCCTTTTCAGCGTTCTTCTGGGTATTCGATCTCATGTCCCTGCAACCATTACCGAACCAATAAGCTTGGCTTATGGACCTAACAGAATTATGCTGTAATGCTGTAACGTGAGTCGCCGAGCATGCAATCTAATTGATATGGATGGGCGTCACCTACAAATGACTGGTTTACGGATCCTTTCCCAGACTCGAATGAAACACTACAGGATGGACAATTTAGATTTAACCACACGTAAGAAACTACTCGGTCAACAGCTTTCCTTACTGATGGTGTTGCTTAGATTGACGTGAAGAGATACCTGATTGTGTGTGCTGTCTAAAGACTTTTACCACTGCTAGCATACCGACCACCCGATATCCTTAACAACCTCGAACACTGTAAACTCATTTAAGGGCCCTTCCATTGGCCACAAGTCATCGGCCCAACCTAGGACCTATATGCAGCAATATAGGCTTTGGCAAGTTAAAGAATGGATATCTCTAAATCCGCAAGCGTTCACTATCATTATCGGGCTGAAACTTGAGGCAACTGAATAGAGCGCACAGCCGAACGGCAGAATGCAGTCTTTGTATAAAGTTGTGATGCCGATCCTCACGCGTCATCGATGTCATCCTCCACAATGAGCACAGTTTATTTCTTCATTGTTACGGGTCAAGGCAGCACTCTTTCTACTTTGCATCCAGAGTTTGCTGAAGCTGGGGGTGTCGTGCTTGCCTATGATAACTCAGAGACATACTGGTACGTTCTGAGTCTGTCTTCCCAGCAAATTTATCCAGCGATTCTTAGGACCAGTTCTGGCTTCGAGATCAATGTGCGAAACCCTGACATCGAACCTGGGCCCCTACACGTCCAATCCCGTTTTCTAGATGTCAATAAGCTACGGGAATTCTAGACTATTAATGCTACACAAAGGATTAATGACATCCTTTTCGGCGACCTCTTTTCTGCATCGAATACAGTAGTGAAGGTCGACTGGGTAGGATGACAAGACAACCCACAAGACAACTTTCTAGAGCATTGAGCTTAATGGTTAAAATCGGGATGGGTGTCTTGTCAGTTAATCACATCTTGTTCAACCAGGGTGCCAGTTTTCTGCCGCATGAACCATTCCATTTGCTTTCCAGTGCATTGGGGACTCGCTGTCTGCTGTAAGTACTTGAGGTGTCACGCACGTCCCAAGTACGCACGTTTGCCAGTCTAATACCTTCCGTTGGACGTCGACCAAGCTTGGCCATTCCCGATATCTGACTACTCCAGAAGTGAACATAACATTCAGGCTCAACCTGCAATTGCCCTCTCAGTCAGTCTACAACTGCACCCATTCGGAATGATCAATATACCCTGATATCTGGCTCCGTAGGGTATCGACTCGTACGGAAGTGATCACGGAATTTCCAAAGTTAGCCTTCCTTTTGTCTCTTCTAAACTCTATGACCTCATGGTGATTTCGAAGACAAAAAATACTATGGTAAATCTGATCTTCTTTGATCTTCTCGAATTAATGTTACGCAAATCTCGCGGAAGAGAACAGACCCCTTGCACGACTACACAGCACCCCAGAACTTCAAGCGAGACTACCCCGCTGCCGCCCATGTCGTATGGATGATCAGATGAGTTCCAATCTAGATCTTTGCTACCTCTTGCTTGCAACGTGGCCGCTAATAATGACGCTGACCTTGATGCGGCTCCGGTTCACGCTAAACGACAGCGGAAATAACATTACGGCGTCTGTGTTCTATCAGGTTCTCAGCTTGCGGTCTGCTTGTCCTCTCGTACTCACTGACGTTGTCTTGTCCACAAGACTACTTGGAAAATATCGGCATTACCCACCCTGTACCCCTATATGTGTGTCATTCTGTAACCATGTATATTTGTGTCAACACCCTAGATTGACTTAGTGGGGCTGGCCTGACCCCGAAGGTCCCTCGCTTGACTATGCAGTTAGCTATCAGCAGGTCGTAAACCACCGGTGGATGTTTGATAGTGCGATTTTATATTTAAATCCTACATGATAGGCTAAGCTTGTCGATTCATTAGGCAAGGACATGAAGATAAGGATGCATGCTGGTGAAAACAACATCGACATGGGGTCGATCACAGTACTTGATGTGTATCCGTTGGACTCGTGGGGATTTCATTTCATTCCTCAGAAGTGAAATGATATGAAGTAATTTGTGGACATTCAGCAATTTACGCCCCGTTGTTCAGGGTCACTAGAAAGTGTCAGGGTACCTCAAGAGTTCGCTCGAAGAATGGGGAATGGCGACTGATGGCCGCGGAGCAGTGAACGCCAAGCACTGCACTAAGGTCCCAGCTTGCCTGAATCTGGGAAATCGACGACGAATTGGCCATGGCTGGAGTGATATGGTCTCGGTAGGTACTACATCTTACAATTACATGCGATAAGCCGATTCCACCAGAGTCCACGTCTGAGATTCGCCGTGTAGGACAACCTAGGACAACACAACATCGTTCCTGGCTGTCTGTTAAGTAGTTTTACAAATTCGCACACCGGGTGCGCAGCAGGAATTGCCGAGCACTCTGTCAATGATCAGACTCGCGCATATATAGTAAGCCCTCGCTCACGGTTCATAGCCAGTTCACATCCGTTGGCATGGCATGTCCAATAGGCATATATTCTTTTGTCTCCTAGTCCCATCGACGAAAAATTTCTCGCACATCGTATGAGAATTTTGTCAAGGTTAACATATTCAATCTCATGTTCCTGTGTCCGTGAGCTTGGAACTTCCCCCTGCTGGGCCCAGCCGCGCCCCTTCTTTTTCTGCCATAAATCCTTCAAGAACTTAGCCTTTGGCAGAACCGATCATTCACCACCATGTTTAGCAGGGAACCTCAGTCGCCAAACGGCCTTTTTTCAGGAGAGTCCCGACCTGGGTCATCCGCGCCGACTATTGATGTCTCGCTGGCGAGTCCATCTTTTGACTACGCTAGCTTGAATGCGCCGTTATGGCCACACCGTCTCTCCGCATCATTCGCAGCGATGGCAGACCAGATAGCAGCTGCATCACAAGCACTCGCGCTTGTTCCTTCCACGGCATTCAGCGGCAATGACGTGACAGTTGAGTTTGCGTCTCTCAAGTCGAAACTCGCGTCGATTGAGAGCACACAAGAACGCCTCGCGGCTGAGTTTGCTGCCTTGAAAGAGCAGTTTACGCAGTTGAACACGGATAAAGGACCTGCGTTGGAGGAGTTGGACAAGAAGATCGAGGCACTTAAGAAAATCGTGGAAATTGAGTACGTTAGTATTTGAGATGAACTATATGGAGGCTGACGTACCTCTTCTGTCTACCACAGCCAACAGCGACTTCCTGCGCGTTTGAACAACTCTCGGTGTTCAGTTTTGAATACGCCACTCAAGGCGCCCGTTGGAAGCGATGGCAAGCCACCGCCGAACTTCCCTGCTACTAGGGGAGAATTCGAGCATATTACAAGTCAGTGCATTTTGGAACTTGGGTTTGGAATGGTTCACTGATCGCGTGGTGTTATTTAGAGGAGCGCTACGAGGCTATTCTCAAGGCTTATGGTCTGCCCATCAAAGGAGACACTGACGCCAAGCGAGAAGCTGTTCGTGTATTTGTCGGCATCCCTCAAGACGGGCTTTAAGCATGCAGGAGGAATGATGCGGACCATATGATACTAGCTCTGTCCATAAAATATCACAAGTCGCTGGAATTGTTGGAAGGACTTGGCTTGCTGGACGAGCTTTGGTCATTTTGGAGGTCATTGTCAAATGACCGACCCGTGAGTGTACGGAACAGCGGGATCAGACAGGCCGTAGTTATAAGTACAGCTATACTTACATCAGTAGACTAAAAACAGCTATAGAATAAATTACTTACCGAACTTTATCTTTGGCATCAGTGAGCCCTTGATTATCTACTTAGCAGTGCCAGTCAAGATATATAAGCATGATGGTGCCACTATCGATATCGGCTATATATTGGGCCTTGGCATCTGTAGTCCGACCGCCCTCCGAAACCTCTTCGCCTCCCACTTCCTTACAGCATGATGTCCCACGAGCCTATCCAAACCCTACTCAACGCCAATGAGGAGTGGGCGCAAAAAGTAATTAAGGACACACCCGATTTTTTCACTCAGTCGGCCACGGGCCAGAGCCCCAAGGTATGCCCACCCCATGTCCTATCTAACTCCATTTATGAAGGTCATTTCAGATCCTTTGGTTTGGCTGCTCCGATTCGCGGGTGCCAGAATCAGTCATTACAGCATCTAAGCCTGGCGATATCTTTGTGCACAGGAACATCGCCAAGTACGTATAACCATCGAAGGCTGAGGCCATGGAGCTCACAACCGTCCTTGCAGCCAATTCCACCTCAACGATGATAGCGCACTCTCCGTTCTCACTTATGCTGTCAAAGTAGTCGGCGTCGAACACGGCGAGTGTCTCATTATACTCATGATAAGGTTTCGATTATTCCTCTAACGGGTATATATCGTTAACAGTCGTCCTTGTTGGCCATACCAACTGCGGAGGTGCTGCTGCTTGCCTGAAAGCAGCTGAAGACGCAGCTGCCGATACCGGAGCGCCCCAACCCGACACCCCACTCACGCGCTGGTTGAGCCCCCTCATTGCGCTGGTCAAATCCCTCGACCTTTCCGCGTGCTCCGCAAGTGAGGCGTTGGATAAAGTCGTTCAAACCAATGTCATTACGCAAGTCGACAATATCTGCAACTCGGAACCGATCACCACTGTATGGGCAGACCCGAATGCGAAGAAAGTCACTGTGCACGGATGGGTGTATGACCTCGCCCGTGGACACATCGATGAGCTCGTCTTCCGGGAAGCTCAGGCTTGATGGGAACAGTTTTTGACTCGTCCTTTTTTATGACAATTCCAAGTCTTAGGGACAATTCCAATTCTCGCCGCATTCTTCACTAGATTTCCCCTAGATGGCTGTACACATCAAGAATGTGGTAAATATTATTTGTAAATTATAAGTACATGCCGCTAAAGAACAGTCTCAAAGTTCAAATTCAAACATTAGACATATTTCGTTTTCCCATAATGCATCGTCATTTTCTCATCAACATTTTTGAATCGCTGCTCACAAGAAGAAATGAAGAACGCGACCCAATGCGATGCCACTGCATGGTCCATGACAGTGTGGCAACAAATTTTCCGGGCAACCTTCTCTTTCAGACCCCGAGGTAAAGTTCCCAGACTTCCAGCGCTCGGTTTCAATTGGGATGTAAGCAAGCTGGCTCACCTGCATATTCAGTATATGTACTGTCACTGATGCGATGCTGAAAGATAAGCTTTCGAATTTCAGCATTCTACTTTTTGGTGCAACCGTTACGCGTGCGCGGTCTGACCTGGAACTTCATTAATCATTGACAGCTCAGCATTACGACTGGTGATCCTGATAAGTCTCACTTCAAAAGCAGAAGGCGCCACTATTCAGTCCTTCGGATCTTGTCCGGCGTCTGAGATCTGATGCTTGAACGTTACAGCATGTATACGGGCGCCGCCACCAAGATTTGTTCAGGATCGTGGGTTTGAATTTTCCGTTGATTTCAACAGGTGGTCACATCAATCTGTGTAAGCTTCTAGCTACCATGGCTGGGCCTAAATCAGCTAGCGCTGACCACATAATTTAGATTAGCTGCATAGAGCATTGAAGGAATGAGGAAGTCTTCTAGTCGTGATGGAGCGTTCAAGTTGATCATCTGTTCATTGCATTGACTGCCGACTTGCGAGGACCCGGGCCAGCCTCTATCCATGTCTGGCACTATCTTTGCACATAAGAACATCGCCTAGTACGTACATGATGTTTCGATGTAAGTTGTTCCCGTCGGTCACAGCTCTGCGGAGGTGCCAGAGCAACTGTATCTGCCACTGCCACCGAACCCTCACGACTCACTCACACGCTGGTTGACCCCCTTCACTTAATTCGTTGGAACTTTCGGCCCTTCCGGGTTATCTGAGAGTGATGTGATGGTCGCTGAGGCTAACTTCGTTGATCTTACGGGTCGACGGCATTTACAAGTCGGAGCCAATTATGCGCGGCCAGACCCGGACTCCCGCGAAAGCCCTTGCGACAATTCCTCGCTTTTATGCATCCTTTGTATACGATAGATGTGCGTCCAGGGTTCGACAGATCCACATGTACAATTTCACCTTACTTAGCTTCTGTTTGACAATTCATCCAGCTTCTCCGGTGTGCAGATATTGCATGTATAAGATGCTAAGTACGATCCGAAGTCTAAACATGAACCTAGTCCAAGACTTAGCTTTGACATAGCGTATAGGGCAAACGCCGAGCGAACGAAAAAGAAAAGTATGCTATGCATTGAACAAAAATCAGACAAATGAGATCCTGTGATATTAGCAGACTACTTGGGGAAGGTGGGGCAATGTGAACAAGTTAGCTCCGGATCGAAATCAAAGCGAGAACAACGCGACATATCACGTATGTGCAAAAGCTGAAGCTAGTCCATAGATCAATGATGATGCCGAGGAAGAAGCGGGCCATCCGAAGAGCTATCAATGAACCCGAAATGAACGCGGGTAAGTGAGGTTATCAGCAGACAACGCAACACTTCCAGCTTCCACCAGTCGAGTCTCCGTTAGACGCTTCACCACTACGTCCACTGCTCTTCCTTCTATGATGAGCAGAGGAAGGCACGCCCTCTCTCATGAGCATGCTTGCTCGGGTGGCAGCCTCGAACACATCATCCACACCCTCAATCTTGAGGGCGGAGCACTCCTTGTAAGCGCGCGCACCGATCATTGATGCCACGCGTTCAGCTTCAGCACGCGAGACGAAATTGCCGATATCAGGAGAATTGGGAGATGGACGCAGGTCGGCTTTACACCCAACGAGTAGAATTGGGATAGTTGGGCCACATATGCTCCGAACTTCTTCGATCCACTAGACAGGACGGATCAGGGATCGACAGGCGCGCCAAGAAAACGTGTCGATATAAACCTACTTTTACAGATACGTTATCCAGAGAATCTGGGGTGTCGATAGCGAAAGCAATTAAAATAACATGTGACTTGGAGTAGGACAGTGGTCGTAAACGCTGACGCAGGAGATAATGAGCAAGCGGGAAAACTCGGTAATGAAATATCAATATCTTACTTCATACTCTTCCTGCCCTCTGCATGACACAATAGTTAGATAAAAGAGAAGTCTATACAAGAAGAGAAGGCACAAACGCAGTATCCCAAAGTGCCAATTGCACAGGTTTACCATCTAGCCTGATTTCCGCAACATAATTTTCAAATATAGCTGAGAGGGTCAATAGGTAAGCCAGTGCCGGATAAGTGCCCCTCCAAAGGGAGCTTACTCGGTTGCTTGAGAGTGAGATCAGTTGCGCTCGATAGGCACATGCCACAACGGTATATAGACTCACATATTCCTTTGGAAATTCTCCCAGCGCAAAAGAGCATAGTAGGGAGGTCTTCCCACAAGCACCTGTGAGTATAGCCCAAGTTTAGCCGGACATGTCCAGAAACAAAGGGCTGCGGTTACGTGCCGTCACCGACGATGACCAGTTTTCTGCGAATCTACGCGCAAGGCAAACAAGGCGCCGGAATGTAAGACTTGAGAGCCAGTACTCGAATAGAGGAACAAAATATGCGTACCGGGTTTTGGGACGACATGAATGTTGCTGGGCTGTGAGCGGTCAGATTATTCGGACTAATGGAAGACGGAGGCAAGCCTGCGCGCTAGCCGCGATGAAATTCAACAATTACAAGGAGCGTTAGAAAACAAAAAGGTGTATAATGAGTATTGTGATGAGAATGAAGCCCAAGTAAAGAAGAGAGGTGAGAAGCAGAAGAACACGGTGACTGCGTTTGACCGCTGGCTTCTTGCGCGCGGGTTGGGACCACTTATATAAGCCATCACAGCACCGCATCCTCTAGTCTGACCATACAAAACCCAATTGCAGAGAAACCGCAGTCAGATGCCACTCACACTAGTACTATACATAGCACCCACTCCCGCTCATCAAAAACCGTAGAAGCAACAACAAACTGTGTACTCTATCACATTTATCATACTAAAAATCCGACTAAAACATACAAACTGTACAATAGGTGAAATTGTCAAAGACTGAAGTAAATCGAGAAGTAAAAACACAAATGGTTAGTCAACCAAATTACATGAAATCATTGGACAGCATATGCTGCCTATTATAGCTGTCGTCAACGGAAGGCCGAAAAGCATAAAGGTTGAAGCTCACCTTAATCTCCTTCTCGAATTTCTTCGCAACCTTGGAGCGTTGCACCTTCTGTGCCGCGGTAACGAGGCCACTTTCGGGCGTCCACTCCTCTGCCGTCAGAATAACAGCTTCTAGAATCTCCATCTGTTTGAAGCTGTTCTTTTTCCCGATGGCATTGCACTCCTTGAGGATGAGATCTTGCACCGCCTTGTTGGCGCACAAATCCGATAACTGAGCGTTCGCATCTGTGGGGATGGACTTGGCTTCGAGAGCCTGGCGCAGATTGGCTTCATGGGGGATGATAATACCAACGGGTTGTTTGGCTTCAGCATCTGCGTATACACAAATGTTCGCCACAAGGTAGCATGACTTATACGTCGATTCGAGTTGTTCAAGGGCTATGTACTGAGAAGCGGCAGATTAGTTGATCTGTGGCAAAAAAAGACAACTTAACACACCTCGCCACCCTGCAGCTTGATGAGATTCTTAATCCTGAAATGAATGCGTATCAGACGAAGAAGATTGTTCAGGAGGTCAGATTACCTGTCGATCAAAGAAAGAGTCCCATCAGCATTCCATTGACCGACATCACCAGTCCTAAGCCAGCCATCCTTAGTGAAGATAGACTCGTCGTTGTTGAGGTCGTCCCGCTTGTAGTATCCTTTGGTGACCGACGGGCCCCTAATACAAACTTCTCCCTGGGGAGGGTTGTTAGTCGACTTGTAGCCCGCTTCAGGGACATCCCGGAGCTTTATTTCAGCTGAAGGAACAGGCAGTCCAACGGAGCGATATTGCATGAGCTCGGGGGGTAAGATGGCGCACATCCCGCAAGACTCAGTCATACCATAACCTGCCCTCAATTACGTTAACATATTCGCAAATCGGCTCAAGAAGTTACTGACCTTGGAGCATAGTGACGAGTGCAACGGACAAGAACTCTTGAGTTTCTTTGCTAAGAGCAGCGCCACCACTCAATGCGAGACGGAGTCGTCCTCCGGTGGCTTGCTTGATGTTATTGAGCACAGCAGCATCTGCCAGCTGGCTAAGGCCAGGAACATCAGCCTTCTTGGCCGCCATCGCCCCATTGAAGATGGCCTTCTTCAAGCTGCCGCTAGCGTTAACCTTAGTGGTAATCCCCTTACGGATCTGTTCCCACACGGCGGGCACGCCAACCATGATGCTGGGGCGAAAAGTGACAATGTCACCCTTGCATTGCCGTACGGATGCATCTGTGAGGGTCTTCACGCGGCCGTAGCCTGTCTTCATACCGACAAAAAATAAGATAAGCTCCACGATGTATTCAAGAATATGGGCGAGCGGGAGGTATGCCAGGAAACTGTCATCGTTACCGAGGTGGTGACCAAGAAGCGTGTAGACAGCACCGACAGAGGCAATGACGTTGCCATGAGTAAGTACCACACCCTTAGGGGCACCAGTAGTGCCGCTGGTATACATGATCAGAGCCACATCGTCTCTAGATGGCCTTCGCTCCTTCAGACCCTCCTTGGATTGCTTTGCACCAATCTCACGCAGTTCATCAATGGAGAGAATGACTACGTTTTCCCTGATGTTGCGGATATCATCTAGAAGTGATGACTTGGCATCACCATCATAGACTATGAGCCTGACCGACGGGGTATTCGGAAGCACATTCTTCAGGGTCGTCAGGAGGTCGGCATTAGTGAAAACACCAACGCAATTTGGCTCGTTCAATGAATGTGTGAGTCCAGATTCGCCAAGGGTATCGTAGGCAGTGGCTACAGGAGTTGCAATTGCTGTGCATGCATGAGACATAAGCTGCCAGTTTACGCTATGTGACGCGTCAGCCATGAAGGTTTCTGCAGGAAATCAGGCATACCTCGTCTGAGCATAGATATTGAATATGTCTTCCTTCGTGATTTGATGGTGAAGAAGACCTCGTGCAAGCTCCGAAACTCGCTCTTGGACATCCAGGAAATTGAGGTACTTGTAGTCACTGAGCTGGAAGTACTTCCAGATCTTCTTCTCGGTGACCTCCTTTCCATTGACCGTCTTTTTTACTTCCTTCTCTTCTTCGTGAATGCCGACGATATCACGCCAACCCACAGCATCTTTCGTGCCATGTGTTCGGGCGGCGTAGTCGATGACATCTGGAATGATGTCGATGCCCTCGAATGGTTGAGTCACGAGATTGTCAGCAGTGATTGCCAGGCGTCGAATTGGGCTGCCATCGTCGGTAGCAACCACGACAGAGCCTTTACCAAAGAAATTGCGTTTGGAGGTCATGATGGATCGCTTCCTTCAGTACAAAGTGACGCCCCCCAAGTCAGTACTCCGCAATAAAAGCACGCATTAATCACGTGATAGATCAATCGGCTCCAATAGGAGTTTGAAAACCGGTTGATGGAGAAAGCCCTCCAATTGTGCTCGTCTGACGAAAGCTCCTGGACCCTGAATGTTATCATAAGAGTTGTTCGGCATGAGCATTTATTTTCTGATCTGAGTCCAGAGGAAATTTTACGTGTGTGCCTTACCCTATTTCGATGAGCCGCTAGATGTCTCCCGCATCACATAGTAGTACGCCTTTGCATTATGGTTGTGGAACCTAGCTGTTCTCGAATACTTCGCAAGTAATACACATGCATAGGATTGTCCCGCAGCGTCAGGTCGCGTTTGGCGAGAATACGAGAAGCCCATGAGTCAGGATTTACGTTCGGGCTTGAACCTTGGCGGCTTAAAGTGTGATAGACCTCTTCCCTCGATCATCTTGAATCACTAGAAAATCAGTGCTTCGAAAGAGAGACGGGAGGGGGAGTCCTGGGGGATGGACTGCGACTCACTAGACTTGAACTGACATTATTGTATGGTAGAGATACGACGCACTTTATTAGGTTTAGGTGTGACTGACTGAATATTAATTAATTTTGCCTATGGATGTGCGAAAAAACATGAGCTCTGAGTTTGCAAATGATCTCTCCTTATCAGACAATAGAGGCAGGCAATGATGTAGCTATTAGTATGGTCAGAACGGGAGCGAAAAATCGCGGACCGCTCACTTCTGCTGCACCATACGGCAAGTCAACAGTAGTGGCTCTGTGGTGCGGCAGAGATAAAGGGGACAGCAGGGAAGCTTCTCCAAATCAGCTTAATTCCGAAGCACAGAAGTTCATTTGACAATGCGTCGAGAAGTCTGGTCTAATAGTGTCGTTGCACAGGAACCGAAAAGATTGCGAACTCCGGTGGATTATCATGCCAATCTCACGTATGAGCTATCAGTGTTCGGGTGAGCGTCGTCACTGAGCAAGCTTTGCTTCTGGTTTGGCCACCTCTGGCGCATTAGGATCTGGAAGGAACACCTCGATCTGCCATGTTGAATGACCTCAAAAAGAGCATCGTGCACGATATGATTCACTAACAAGCGTACCATCATTCAGGTCATTTGCTATCGAATCAGCTGTCTGCCTGATGCTAATATGCAACATTACCGTTTCGACTGCTTCGATAAAATACTCACAATCAGTATTCTGCCATCAATGATGGTATACATGTCAGACCCGAAAAACGGGCATTACAGAAGCGGCCTTCCACCTGACCGTAAATGCAAACTTCAGGGTCTTGTTCAGCCGCGGGTCTATCAGTCCTTGCAAATCGAAACCACGAGTTTTCCAGATAGGCAGGTACGTGACACTTAGCTCACGATGAGGTCCCGGATCCCGCCTGCGCTCAATTTCAATAATCGTAACGAGAGACGAACAGCATGCTGCCAGTTGTCCATAAGAGATAGAATTTGCACGAGGCATCTGTAGAATGCAATTTCCGATCTGTCAATGAATCATTAATTGCCGACAGACCCACCTGATGCACGCAGAGTACCACAAGGGACCTGCAAGCCACGATTAGCTCCCGCGAGCCATAGCTTGGGTATCATTTGGCATAATCTACTAAACCTTCCATTGCAATCAGCATATCACTATCCGCACTATGGTGAATCTTAAATCAAGCTTAGTATTCCGAGTCTAGGAAACAGAGACCTGTCAAAATGACCGATGCGGTAGCGAAAGTGAAACCGTTATACATACCAGGAGAAATGTCATATCCCTTAATCCCCTGCCAGTAGTTCCGAGTTGCGTGAGGGTTAGAGAGATCGAAAACTTAAGAGTGAATGAACTTCCAGAAAACTTCCCAGGATTTGGCAAACGTAGGACTCAAGGGGAAAAGGTTAAACAGCAGAATTATTTTTAATTACCAGAACTAGTTCCAATTGAGGATCCTGTCACCTGCGCGCCCTTGCCTGCCAGTTTTTTTACATACTGATACTCCAAGCAGTCCCTTTTGAACTCAAAGACCCCAGAAGTAGAAGTGGAAAATTATTACGCGCGGCAGAAGTCATAACATAAGTCGGATCAATAGTACGTTATCCTCGATCATCCGGTCACGGGCTCGCGGTGTTAGCTGTTACTAGTAGTGCTTACTTTAGAATTCATACACTTGGTTACTATTCTGGTTCAGTGCAAATGATTTGGTTCTACTACTAGTACTACAACGTTCTGATGCCATATATCCTTTGATGCTCAAGGGGCTGAAGAGGAGTGATGCCTTCTATGTGTATGTCACGTTCATTTCTTGGCGCTAGTCAGATTATGAAGCTTAAGATTTAACCTTGAAATGGTGCTGCAGATGCGGTACTTCGGTAATTTGGTTCTCCTGATTGCAGTATTTGGCAGCCGCAGTAACATTTATGCGAAATCTTGGCCCATAAGATATGGACCGCAGAACATACACAAACAGGTCATATTAAGTGAGTGGTCTAGTGGTAGTACAACAACAACCTCATTAGATGTGTTATCACAAACTCCGCGTAATATGAGCATTATTTACAAAATAAAAACAAGATATGTTACACAGCGCCACACATTAGAATGCTCCTTTCTCGAAGAGTGGCACAACGAGGTACTCGCGATTGGTGACATCGACGCCGCGGAAGTACCCTGTACAACAGACCGTGTCAAGCTTGCTGTCAAGAAAGTGACGCTCGGCACTTACTCGGGCTGAGATAATACCACATTACGGTCCCCTGCGTGAAGTTCTCCAGCGCATGGAGGTATCTTTCCAGCTCGGCATCCACATCGGCACCAAACGACGGAAGCTGGCTCTTGAGATTGATATAGTCGTCCACGCGTTGATTCAACATCTCAGTGAGAATGTTAATGGCTTCCTGCAACCCGACATCGCGTTCATGCATGATACAGAAGACAAGGTTTTGGTAATCGCCGTCAGCTTGTTCTTTCTGAAGAGGAATGAACAAGTCAGTATGATCCAGTGGTCAATGTCGTTTTCCTCACATTAAAAGAACAAAGGTCCTGTTTCAAGAGAAAACATGAGCCTCCAAGTCAAAAGGTCAAATGAGTGAATAACAAACGTTTGGCCATGTCATAAGGTCGGTTGTCGCGTCTGACATCGCTTTGATGATAGGATTTTCAAAGACAACGTCCGGAAGATCCAGGTCAAGAGAATACTCGATCATCGCTGAAGTGACACTTTCAGCAACATGTGAGGCCGAGGGGGATACGAATATTCTCACCTTCCACAAGAGCGCCGCCGATGGTCGCACGACGCATGAGAATGAATTCCTCAACCGAGGGCATTCGATCTTGAGAACGGTTGCGAGATTGTGATACTTGAGAGCTACTCCATGCCTCAAATGCCTTGATGAACCTGAACGGAGTTCCGCATCAGAATAAAAGTCCTTGAACTACAGCGTCAACTTACCGGTCATAGGCTCCACTGGTAGATGTTCCGCGGAATCGTGTTAGCAAGCTAGATAACATACACATAAGTTACGTCACAGGGTTTAGCAACGAGAATACATACTCGTACAACATTGCAGCATATGGGTATTTTGGGCGGGAACCATCAGGGTTTGTGTAAACACTAACGGAGATATCATGCCCAGCTTGCACTGCGTCAGGTTTGGATTGTAGGTCGCCTTCGTCAGAAAGATCGTCGGTCTAAAATACAGTATGTGAGTTGATAGAACTGCATGAATAACGACTAGCTTGTGCACCGAAAAAGCCCAGAAAAAGAACATAATACAAGTTTCAAGATGCGCAGAGTCAGCATCTGGAAAGCTTAATGCAGCAAAGAGATCGAATTTGCCGTAGTTGAGGAACTTTGACTTCTTCCTATCATCGTACACACATATTCTAAAATTGGTTGTTAGTGCAAAGTATATGCCATGGACGGTGAATGATACACACTGGTTGAACCATGAGCGCGCTGCACGGTCGGCGTCGGCTTGATAGGGATTGACTCTGAGCTCGCAGACCCGGCCAGTGATGGCAGCTAGATCCTTGAGGTAAAATTGTGGTGGAAGGGATTCGTATCGTTGCATGATGATTATGAGGACAGTGTGTTGCACAGAATATACAGCTTAGACTTGCTCGAGATGGGTACTTGGGTTACAGTGGAGGAGGAGAGGATATCTGGTCCTTCTTATTCAAAACCGAAAGGGAGGGGTCCTCATATCAGTCCTGTCCGAAGCTAGACTTCTTAAACGAAAGTGTATAAAAAAGACATAAATTGAGGAGGCGACGCCCACACCATCATCAGTACATCACGACACATTACACGTGAAGACCCATTGGCACCCTTGATTTTGATTTGCGATCTTTCGGCAAGTGGTGGGTGTCTTGGAGATAAGAAGAGTGTAAAGCCTGCTGACATGTCAGTTAGCTCTAACTGGTTTGAGTGGTGCTCAAACGAGGATGAATGAGGAAATTTTGGGATATCTTTGATTGCGAAGGGCACGGAAGGACTCACCGAAAATGTCTACGACGTTTGAGGCGGAACGTATAGGCTCACGTTGTCTTGTAATGCAAGATGCTGGATCTCATTCTTTGATCTCCTTGATGGATTAAAGGAGATCGGCGACCTGACTCTCCTTCGCATTGTGTAGTGTTGTCACCTGGCAAGGAATCTAGATCTAAGGGTGGTGACGGGAATAGAAGTGTAGGTCCGACTTCTACAACTTCAAACGCGGATGCTGACAAGGCTCGGTTGTGCTTTGCGCCGCATTATAGCGAGAAAGACATCGACAAGGGATAGTGCCAACCAACCAGACTTTTCATGAAGACCAAATGCCGGGATGTGTGAACGGCATGAGAAGAACACGAGGCAGCAACGTGCCGCCAGCGTGGTTTTAAAGTCTTCTTTTCGGTGAACAAGTGCTAGTGGTGCAATCTTCACACTAATACCGGATGACGAACTGCTGTGATCTCAGAGACCCACAACGTCGAGACTCGTCTTCGGAGGGTACTGTGACTGCACCAATCGAACCATTATTCCGAACGCCGATTTCCCACTGGGTAAATACGGAACATATATCAAGCAATTGGTCGGCGGCGATTCGGACGTACTTGCCGCACCATATATCTCGTCGCTAATATGTCAGGGCGCCCGCCGCCAGTGTACTGTCCCTCCGTCAGTTCCAAGGCTACACACTGCATTGTATTCTTAGGTACCAGAAAAATGTGGGGTGCACACGCTTGTCATCCGCCGGTACTTACTAGTTGGCCTGCCTGCCGTCATCTATGACGATTGCTTACTAGCGTCCGAGTACAAGGCCTAGATATGATTACGGGTGAAGACTCGGGGTCTTGGGCAGGGATCGATCTGTGCCAAATCTGTGTGGTCACCTTGTCTTGGGGTCAGGGCAGCAAATACAGATTGATGATGACCTCGACACCTTTGGAATAAACGCCGATTCCGGCTACATACCATATCGCCCTGGTCAACCAAGATCTTCCGGTAGCCATCGAGTGATCAAACTAAGCTGCGTTTGGTCTAACGCATCTCACCAGACACGGGTGCCGTATTGAGCGTACTAGAAGCGACATAGGGGTTTGTCTGCATGCGTATGTACCAGCAGCAATGTATCGAGACGTTGGTCTGTGGGAGGTGTTTGTCGCTGTCAGGTTTTTGACATTAAGCCGCTGACGCTCTGCGAGCAGAATCTAGGAGTCTATGAGCTCAACCGCTCATGGAAATAATTATCTGCTCCGGTGTCGTCGCCCAGCAAACCAATTGGGGTAATCAAAAAAAACTTTCAACGTACATTATAGTGTGTCTCAACCAGCTTGCTTCGTGCGGAAAGTCCGGGAAGAACTCTGAAGAACTGTGCATATAGTGGACGATAGGAACTGCTGATTTGACGTGACTTAAATTTGGAAGTCCGATGGTTATTCTGGTATTACTATCCCTGCAATAGAAGTCGGCATTTTGTAGAGCAGCAATGCAGCTGGGTATTTCCATCAGTTCTGTACCAATCCAGCTCTCTACGTTCCATGATGTGTGTGGCACCATACGCATAATCGACGAACTCACACAGATTCACAACCTAGGCCTCATCCATGGTCCGAGTGTCTCATGACACATCGCTCAATTTTACAACTACAGCACTAGTGGCCACCTTTGTACTTACATAAGTAGAGCATATATCACTCGCTTGTTCATGCTGAATACTAACTGAAACTTAGATCAAGTCACATCCGACTCGGGTCCGGTCAAGCTGGCCTCATGAAACAAGGTGTTGAACTCCTAGCGCTGAGCTATGAGGCCGACGTCGCTACTCACCTGAAACCATAATGTATGGCAAAGTGTTTGTGTGTCCTTGATATAGGACTCACCACAACGACTCGCAAAGTTGAATGCCCAATCAAAGGCCCATTACTCCTATCGGTTAGTGCCGAATACTATCATAGCGCAGTAAAATGAAACGCAGTGGGTCCGAAGCTCAAATCGATCATCCATTATGCATCATGATCTAACCGATCTATCTTAATGATCAGCTCCAACGGTTAGTGAGTTTCGCCACTATCATCAGTTGTAATGTGACATAGCGGTAGAACTTTAGAAGCCTGTCTTGTGGTGTGGCGGTGTCAATGAATCTCGTGTTCGATGGACAGCTCAAGGACAACTATACTTAACTTGACTCAGTAGGCTTCATGAGGCTCTATGTATCGTCTATATCAAGAATGAAAGGCAACGTGATAATGAAGGAAAGGCTGTGATCGTGTCAGGGCACGTCAGGGCCCTATAGCGATGTCAGTCATATCAGTCAGATTGAAAAAATGAAACCTTTATAATCAGCCTATCTAGTAGTACCGTTCTAGTACGCTGTTTTAAATAAGCACATGCTTCAGCAAGGAAGAGGATGCTAGAGTTCGCTTATATCCACCACGTAGAGGCCGGTGGCGCTCTCGAAGAGTGTACATGTGCAATTTTCGGGATTCGGCTAGTTTCCTGGACCTTGTCGCACATGGACGTGGGGATAAGACACCTGCTCTTTCCAGAAGATTATTGATCTCGATGACCGCCTACGAGGAACAGTCC